TGCGCGCACAGGGATCGAATGCCAATGCAAAGCCGGGCTGCTGGACAGAGAAGGGTGGAGTTATTACGTAAGATAGGCCGAGTACGGATCAATTTACCGTCCCAGAGTTGTTTGTTTGTCTGCGTCCTGTGTATCGGAGTTAGAGGTCAACAGCCTCAGCTGAAGGTTAAAGATTCGGTGGGGATTTAGTGCAATAGAGTGACTGATTAAGTGAATGCGTAAATTACTCAAAGATAGGGGGATAGGAGAAGGCGGCATCTTCCCAATAGGCGTTCGCAATGAATATACGCCAATTACTGGACGACAATTTAGCGACCAGATGCGGCTGAGAGCTGGCCCTATCCGGCTCCCAGTGCTCTCGGTGTGGCGGCGCGCTGGCCGGGCAGTGCGGAGGCCGCGCCCACCGCCGGCCGGCCGCGGTGGTGCGACCCGGGCGGACATATACCAGACGGGAAGCCAAACTGTAAACACAACCACCCCAGAAACTGAACTGTTCCGGGAAATCACCGTGGCGCCACGGGCAACGTCCGCCCGCCCGCCCGCCCGCAGCCGCGGTCCGGCACCACTGTGCCAGGCGGCGGCTCATAGCTGGGCGAGTGCAGAGTTGTAGAGAGTTAACAACATAGCCGGACGAGTGGAGAGTTATAGAGTTAACAACATAGTCGGACGAGTGGAGAGTTATAGAGAATTAACAACAAACCGGACGAGTGGAGAGTTAAAAAGAGTCAACAACATAGCCGGACGAGTGGAGATTTACAGTTCGGGGACGGGCTACAACCGACAACAACGGAATTCTACATGTACGTCGGATTATTTGGATGCATTACCACTCGGGGTCTCGAGTCCGGCCAATGCGCGCACAGGGATCGAATGCCAATGCAAAGCCGGGCTGCTGGACAGAGAAGGGTGGAGTTATTACGTAAGATAGGCCGAGTACGGATCAATTTACCGTCCCAGAGTTGTTTGTTTGTCTGCGTCCTGTGTATCGGAGTTAGAGGTCAACAGCCTCAGCTGAAGGTTAAAGATTCGGTGGGGATTTAGTGCATTCAGTGTGCATTGTGCGATCCTGAGAACCGTACCGACATTTATACAAGTGTTTTCTGTCCTGACATAATGTTTATAGCTGTTGGTGACCAGACCCTCAGATACACACGAAGTGTGGGCGTTTAACTCTAGGAAGAAGTACAAGAGTAAAAAACGCTTATATAATGATCGGTGATGTAAACAGATATCAGTGTCACTTATATCGACGGTATAATATCTATAAAATTAAGTTATAAACGTTCAGAACACCTCTAATTACTTGATTTCGCTTCCTGGCCCCTACCACTTCTGGAAACGTCCAAAACAAAAAATGATAGGCTTTCAATTTCATCAGTACTCAGCAGCATTTCTTTAAACGAACCATAACTTTCACTTTAACAATAGCTATAAGAAACACTAAGCAACATGAAAAGCGAAAGTCCGTTCGAATGAGTCGAATGACTTTTGGTACGATTTCAGTTCAGCTCGCATAAAGTAAACGGAAAAACCCACAACAAATGACACATTTAGCCAGAACGTTCAGTCCATTCACCGTAATAAGTTAACCTCAATCTGCATTCATTCCGGAGAATTAGCGCGCGGACCAACTCGCCAAAGACGCCTCAACTCTCCCCCAAGAGGACGTCCCTGTTGACGTGACCACGGTCTACCGAGCTGCGGCGAGACTCGCGCGTGCCCGTACCACCAGCCAGTGGCCTCCTGGCTGGTACCGCACGCTGATGGAGGGGCGTCCCCCGCCGCCGGTTCGTGGATCCAACAGGCTGGACGCGGTGGAGACCCACCAACTACGAGCAGGACACTGGTCCGGGTCAGCCCAGTACCTGCACAGAATCGGGCGGCACCCATCGCCGGAGTGCGCCCAGTGCAGTGATCGGGGATGCCGGGCAGGATGGTGCCGCGCCTGCGGCGAAGAGGCCGACACCCCGGACCATGTCCTTTTGCGGTGCCCGGCGCTGATGAACGCCCGGCTCCGCATCTTCGGCACCATCTTCCCGAGCCTGAGCGACGTGCGACGGGACGACGCGGTGGCGGCCCTGGCGAGGGTCGCCAGGCACCTCAAGAGCCGTTAGGCTACAGCTCGCCAGAGCCTGGAGGGACAACACAACAACAACATCTGCATGTGCATGAATGTTTGAACTAATGACGAGCCTGCAAAACGCAGTTAGAAAGTCCGGGAGCGAGGCAGTGTACAGGGTGTCCCAGAATTACCCGGACATTTATTTTCTGGCTAAAAGTACGATTGCGCTCGATTCTAATGATATACAAGCATCATACTTTTATAAGATATCCCTTAGCTATCGAGCTTGGGGACTGTGTGCTTTTGGTGACCGGTAACGACTCGAGTCAAGTATTATCCAGAGTCAAGTAAGAGTAGTCCTTTTCCGTTTTCAGCTTAACCCGGCAGTTGCTGGGGTATTTCGCCACCCACCGTTTGCTGGGGGGGGGGGGGGGGCGTTAAACGCCCCCAGCCGATAACTCGAGAACCAATAGGCGCAGCGAAACGCACGGGCGGCAAACGAAAGAACGCGACGAGACGCTTCAGATGAGTACTTTAAAGTTGAATTTTGAGGTCACAGGTCAGGTCAAGGTCAGGTCGAACACCTGAAATCGGGCTTTCAGTAGCATGGACTTCAGGACTTCGCAATGGGCGCCTCTCGTCATAAACTCTACCAAAACGGTGCACAATCCATCATATAAGGCCTACAAGAGTGTCAGCTCCATGCAGGGGTCAGTCAAGCATAGGTCAGGGTCAAGGTCAGGTCAACCGGGCAGTCACATATCCCCGAAAATAAAAACTGATATTCGCAGCCTGTGACACATGTTTTATGGGTAATTTGGGGCGTAGAACACGATGGTGACATTCATTTTATCATATGTGTACGTGTTTGGCTAAAAAAAGTTCAATTTAAGAAATTCATGTATCATGGTCGTGAAGTAGTCACGAGAAATTGCCAAGATTCAGTTCAAGATTTTGGAAAATGCGGAACGATAATCAATAATCGAAGATAGCCATTTGATTCTTCATGGTATTGGCAGTCTAATGGCGTTTACGGCATGTCGATATGTCTATTCTGTGATTTTATATGATTTTTTTGAACATATGCCGTTTTTGGTCGAAAACTCAGAAATCATGACGTCACTAAAACCTCGATATCTCAAAAATTTTCCGACCGATTTTTTTGAAACTTTGACACAATAAACTTCAATCAATTCCCTACAGGTACCCAAAATTTGGCGCGCCTGCGGAGCGCCGTTTTTATGCTATGGCCCGGCGAAAAAAGTGGGGGCGTTTAACGCCCCCCCCCCAGCAACTCGCGGGTTAAGCCACTAATAGGCAACCATGGTGAATCAACTCCCGTTTTCAACTTTGTAAACGGACTTTCGGCATGGTTTTTGCTGGAGAGCTTCAGCAGCTCATCTGCAAGCAGTCAGGATTGAGCAAAGCGCAATTGTATCAGCTAACGAAGCCAGAGAGAGCAAGAGATAAACCTGATTGACAAGCTTGGGCTCGGCCAATAAGGGCCATGCACCAGTTGTCAAACGGGTGGTTGCTTGTCATGGACAACAAACGTCACTGATCTAGCTAAAAACTAGCTAAACGATAGATCAGGATTATCTAAAGAACATCAGTCTACTTTCCACCACTATCTTCGCAAAATTTTGGAATTTGAGGTCCCTCGCCTGAAAAATATGCGAAAACTACGGGAAAAGCAGCGAAAATCACTACAATTCATCCCAAAAATATAACATATACAACAAAAAATTATATTGAAGCACACTTTGTGGTCTAACGAAGGTATTCTGTCATTTGAACCGCCCGAAAAAGGCGTGTGTGAACGTCAGATGGCTACAAAGCCACAACAGCAGAGACGGCCAGGCACCCGTCGAAAATCAAATTGTGAGACATTTTGAGCCACCGTGCACTCATTCGGCTTGATATGATGGCCCAACGACAGCCGTTAGCACAGAGTACTACTGCGGTAATATTCTACCAGTAAAAAACTGGATGCCGTAAACCAAATGGCCATGAACGGGTTTGTTTTGGAAACCAAATCTGTTGGAAGCCAAAGGTCCCACCATGTTCAGACATGGAGCTTCTCCACTTCAGATGTAGAAAACGCGGCAAAAGTGGTGTAGGCAGCAATTTTTGTTTTGGGGGGATAATGCCTTATGACCTGGGAACACTTTGATGTTAATTGTTAAGTTTATCTTATATGATCGTATTATCCTCCAGCAACAGATCAAAGAAAACAGGCCTTCACCCGGTTTCGGGAGAGCCGTAAAACAACTGAGACCAGCAATGGCTGGCATTTTCAATCATTATCGGCTGATCTTGTAACAAGCGTATCTATTGCATGTGCTATTTCACAGCCACCCTAGTTGACTATATAGGACGATAAAAAGAAAAAAGCGCAATCATGTTTGCCTTATTTTATACGCTAATTAACAATGTCCGGGTAATTCTGGGACACCCTGTATGTGTGGGCTGGTGAGGATCGTAATTCGAGTGAGTATTGACCACGTTACGTTTCGGGCAGCGGAGATGATCAGCAGCCTTAGAAGGAACTAACAAAAAATATTTTCAACAAATAATTGCACAAGCGTCCAAAGCTTTGGCGATGACATTTGTGCCACAACCCGGTTATTTTTCCGCCTAAATATTACCGTAAGGATCCTGCACCACACACAAATGAAATAACCAACGTAATACACCAGGGAATATCGTCCATTGCACACCGCATAAATACAGAACTCGAGCAGATCCTGATTCTGTAAACACGACGCTCTCTCAGCCGATCTCCGGCTGATGGAGCGAAAATGGGTTCATTTGAACCGATCGGAGCATTGAACTCCATCCGGATGATGGAGCGAAGTTGTCTCAGCCGACCTAGCTCGGTGACCCAGCCGCGCGGACCACCACCCCGCTGTACGCCAATCGGTCCATATGTGCGCACCTCGTGGGCGGGGAACCGGTGTGAGCCGGCGTAGACGTGCAGGTGACAGTCGCGCCGGTACACGGGTACCACGCAGCTGGTCCGGGCGGTGTGGTTCTCCGCTACCTGTCCCGGCGACGACACGGCTGGTGGGGAGATGAGTGTAAGATGTTAGAAGACAGAGAAAGGTAAGCAACATGACTCACTGGGCGTCAGATGGGGGTGCTCACTCATCATTGTAATGGAAGAGATGGGAGCTTACACAATACACACGGCAGTAGAGACGTAGACCAAATCACTTTCAGACGCAAGCGCAAAAATACAAACATAACCTAGAGAACATTGCACCACATAGCAACATGCTTTCACAATATTTAAATTTTCGTGATCTGCAAAAAAGAAGATTTAACCAGACCTCACTCCGAAGAGATTACAACGCAAAAGACCGCAGATGTCCAAAAACCGAAAAGTGACAGGTTGCAGCGATACAGCTAAAGTGCGTCGGACCTATATATAGTAAGTCGGGCCCCAAACAATCCACTTTGTGTCAACATTGCGTAACCCTATCTAAATGCAGCGATCTGTTTTTGATATACCGGTTCCATCCCTTTCCTTCTCTGCATTGTGCAACTATTATTCCGAGAAGCCTCAGCGTGGTTTACAATATATGACCGACGACCTTGCAGGAACAACTCAGCCTTAGCATAACCACCAAACGAGAGACAACATGTTACAAATACGCAACCACGAATGAGAAATGCCATCAATGACCGCAATAATTAATCCATCTCTTATCCATGACTTCAGAACTTCGAAATTATTCGTCAAAATTGCAGTCACGCATGAAGAACAGAAGAAGGTCTCTTGAAACTACACAGCAGCTCATAGATGCAGCTACCTCCAGCCCGCCTTTTCACTCACCTCCCTCTTCCCCCGGCGGTTGTTCTTCGTCAGCTCCTTCGCTGACCTCCACAGTGACCTCGTACTGCGTCGTGGGCCCCCACTCGAACCAGACGCCGAAGCCCAGGTCGAACCCGTCGGTGGCGAACTCCCAGAACAGACAGGTGCCGTCTGCGCGCGCGGGGACTCGTACCTGCGGGCAGGGGGAGGGGAGATTCAACGTTAGCGAGGCAGGAGGCGAGAAGGCACGATGCTGGGGAAACGGCACTCCTGTGCGGAGGGAAGGACACCATAGAGAGCGACAGTTAGACACCAATTACTGAGAGGTTTGACTGAAATTTGTAGAATCGGAATCAAATGCAGCTTTCAGGGTTAAAATGTTGGTACACTGTGCTCGGCAGTTCCATTACGCATCATTCCGAACACCAGGTAAATATTCACTCAGCCAGCAACCACGCATACGCGATACACCAGTAGCTGCGCAGGACAAAACCCCCGCCTGGCGACAAAGTAGCGATCAAAGGGCAGTTGCCACTAGGTCACCGTGTCGCCCTTGACAGCGAGGCAGCCGGCGAGTGATCTGTCCCTGGGACACACCGTAAGCCATGGACGGGGCTTATTGTAATGGATCGTAACGTCGGCAGCCTTGGTGAAGAGCGTGAAAACTCTGAGCGCTGGGAGTATTTGTTTATCTATTAATCCTCCCATAACATAGGTAGGTGCTGAGTAGCGTCATCGATCAAGCTGAAGCATTAGCCTCTCCACTACGCTAATTTGCTTAAATGGTAGAAAACTTTTAAAAAGAGATAAATGCCGCATCTTGACAAAGCGGCGACTTCCTTCAAAACACCAAACTAGACCATACACTGATGAGTCAACAGAAATTCGAGCAAGATTGTTAGAGCATTGTTTCAACTCCCTTAGAACTACCAGTGGCAAATCGTTCGAGCCAACGTGAGCTGTGCAAATGCTTAGCGGCGGATCCCATAGCTGCTGGAAGCAGAACAGTATGAAATGTATATCCCACGTGGCATCCATTCCGCGGCCCCTGTCTTCCAGAGTCACAAAACGTCCGGTTACCAGTGGCAGTTACATAATCCCGATGGCCAGAATACCAAGAATACGGAGACAAACAGGCTGATACGACCTTCACCCAGGCTTTTTCTCGAAACCCCTTCCCGCCAGTGCGTTCTGTGTTTCAGTGACAGAACACCTCGCTTTGCTGTCGAGACGTCCCAGTGGAGTCGCCACAGACACTCCAACGGCCCTCCGACAGGGGCGAGATCGGAGTGTTATACCGACTTCCACCGTTCATCCGAGAGGCTAGGTCGGGGTGTTCTACCGACTTCCACCGTCCCTCCGAGAGGCTAGGTCGGGGCGCTCTTTGTGTCCCCCTCCGGAGCCCTCCGAGCAGAGCATTGAACTCTACCGACCGGTTGACGCATGCTAACATCCACCACATCACGAGACCTGTGCCCGTATTCACGCTACCACGCCACCTACCGTGACCACCTGTCCCTGTCCGACGGTCTGCACCCCTCTGGTCCGTTCCGAGCGTATGGTCGCCTTAAACTGCTCCAGGTCGCCGCGAATCCACATCTTGGCCTCAGCCAGCCGGCGGATGTCATCTGAAGCACAGGGAGGACACCGTCGTCAGCTGTATGTACAATCATAGCCGCTGTGTGCACAGACAGTGTATGATGACCTTCAATCGGTTTCTTTACGCACAGTAAGTACACTTCTTTGTAGCACCATCGCCGTTCTATAAGACACGATGGTGAATGTTGTATATTTGCCGGTGGATGCGTATAACACGTGCCCTCGTTAGATAACGAGGGTATTTAGAGCGCTAGTGTGACACCATTTCGTGATCCACCATGCGGGATTTGCGAAATACCAGCCTGACCATCGATAACGTCGGCGACAATGGGTCACTATAAAACTTGGAAGTTACATTACAAGCATAAATACGAGCTATGAAACTTTTTGAATGATGAAAATCAAATTTGTAGTTTCGAAGATAAAAAGGTCGACAACAAACAGTCCAAAAGTTGCGGCACAAAATTTCCTCAACAGAAAACGGATTGTCATTTACAAAGCGACATTAGCCTGACTCTGATCCGAGTTTAACCTTCTGCTCGACATGTGCGAGTAAGGCAGCCCCAAAAACGGCAAAATCCGTCCTGAGACGGGTGAAAAAAAATGGGTGAAAATAAGGGTGAAACCCGCCCTGAGAGGTGCTCACCGTCTTTCAGTTGACCGCTGTCATCTGAAGCATCTGTTTCCGACGGAGATGTAAGTTGTGGGACATGGGTGGTGCTTTCTGCGTCCAGTCTTCTCTGCCCGTCAGGCGACATACTGTCCCCGTCTGTAATAAAACAATGTCTGTGAACGAGCATAATCACGCATTTTGACACTAGGAACCAGGTCCACATTCGTACACCGTAGACCAGTCTCAAGAGCTCGTCAGAGCCTCAGATGTCAGTAGAGACGAACTTCCACGTGTCCGAGTCTCCTCAGCTCGTATTGCACCCCACCAGGGTCGAAAACAAGGCACTCAGGCTCTAAAAAATGGAACAGCCTATCATATAATCATATACTGATATGATCCATTCGTAACACAAACAATCCCGGGGGTGTCATTCCGATCCGTCATCATTTCTAATGTTCTCTAATTATTGTTAATCATATTTTCTTTCGAAGAGGCAACTGCCATTATCGTACTACTACTATCATTAGCCATCAAAAAGGGCCAACCAGCGCTTCAACATGCTACTGAAAAACTCATGTGAGAGCGCTAGTGAAATTCCTCTGAAAAGACTGAAACACTCCTGATGCTCACAGAATTCTTTCAGTAGTTCAATCGCACCACCCTTACACTCCGCAATATCTCCTACGAATCTGAATTGTGGATGAGGTCGCCAGTGCTCACTAAATATCAGTCAGTGACAATGCTGAACGCCAGGCTCAGGCGCGGACCGTTGCAACGTACCAATATAAATTTTCAAGAACGTCAACGAGATGCGCATCGATACTCAGTGAAAGGAAAACTGAGATTAAGTGAAATGAAATGCAACGCCTCCGGTTACAGAACGGTTGAGCACTAAGGAGCAGCATGCTACTTGGTGAGAAAGATAAACTTTCTGAGTTTTACGAATGAGCGATAGCGTTAGAGATAGACAACCGCCCTTTTTACCCCTCGCCCCGTTGGGGGGGGGACCATTTTGGCCCCCCTGTGGTTTTTCCTGAATAGCAAGAAAACGGCGGCGCGCAGCGCCGCCAAATTTTCAGTACCTTTCCGGGCATCAATTTGACACCTTCACACCAAATTTCAAGTCTTAGGTCACCTTAGGTCAGGAGGTATTGAGGTCAAACTGAGGTCATGTTCGAGCAAAAATGAGCAAAAAACATGCAATCTCGAAACGCTCACCAAATCTACAGTTATTAAGCAATTTCAAAGTTCTTTATATGGTCTAGTAGACAAAAAGCGGCGCTACAAAACTGCTATCTCGGATTTTCAAAATTTTGGGTTTTTGACCCAAAAATTCAAAAAATTGATTTTTTTAGAAAAACTAAAAAAAAATCCAAAATTTTTCCGAATTTCGAAAAAAACGGAATATATGTGATAGTCCCTGCCCTCTTCTATATACATACCAAATTTCAGATCGATATCTCGTTTTTTGGCCAAGTTATGGCGAAAAAACTGTTCAAAAATGATGACGTCAAATTTTTTAACTCAATTTTTAGCGATTCTAGACCACGTACGGCAAAACAAAGACCACCATTGAACTTTCCGTGACGAGCTGCATCGATTCGATACCCATTTTATGCAAAAATATTAACTTTGAAATTTGACCTAATTTGACCTGACCTTGACCTGACCTTGACCAAAACGTGACCTAAGCTGGCCCCAAAGGCTGCCTGACCCACATAATCGCATTTGTCATGTAAAATGGACCATAAAACATGTATCACACGATACATTCATATTGTGACCCCCCAGTGACCTCTGTGACCTGACCTGGTATCAGTGACCTCAAATAGCAAAATATGTGTTTGAAGAGCATTTCCCCATCGATGATTTTCAATGAAATGCATTTTACTCGATTTTACAACGCATTTCTTGAAATGCCTGTAAACGGTGAAAATTGGACCTTTGACCTGACCTGTGACATCATTGGTTTGACCTAGGTCAATAAAATTGGGTCACAAGGTAGTTCCCTGATAGGGCTATCCAACAGCGTTTGCCGCTTGTCGCTAGGTTGCGTGGTTCTCGAGATCTTAGGGGGGGGGGGGCAAAATGCCCCCCCCCCAACGGGGCGCGTTGCTCGGCAGAGCCCAACGGGGCGCGGGTTAAACTCGGCAACGTTATGTCACAGGGATGCGTGCATTTTACTGTGTATAAGCGCGTGTAAAAATAAGAAACACTGACAAAGATGAAATGCGTAGACGCTGTAACGCCTACTGTCATCAACACATGCACAAAAATTTTATTCAAAATTAAACCTAACTTAGAATCCAAGCAATCGCTGTGCCTGTCGCAATGAGGTCGGAGCCATGACTGCTGCGTATTTACGTCTAGCCAAGTACGCCAGCTCTCATAAGCACAACACAATCCGGTCCAAACCAGTACAATTCCAGAGACGCCGACCAATTACTCGAAGCTTGTTTCATTTCCTTAGGTTATATCAGTTTGTAAAGTATCCGTATACAAAATGATCAAACACAGACGAGGCGGTTTCTCGCAATCGCTGGAGAGAAGCCAGATAGGCGGAGAGTATTGTATGTACCTACGGACGGACGGACAGGAGGACACAGGGGTGGGAGGAAACGCTGCTGACGATAACAGCAGTTCCCTGGAAACGTGGCCCGCGCCACCCGCCACTCGTTCCGTTCACAGAAGGAGAGCGGGACGGGGCCGGGCCACACATTCCCGACAGTGACATGTGTGTACCCTGACATGTGTTTTTGTTCCCGAAGTTTATTCGATGGGCGTGTAGTGTGACAATTTATAAACATAATAATTACTTTTTTGGAAAACAGACCAGTTGCACCTGGCCGTACAAAACTTTTTTTGGGGGGATGGGGTAAATATATGCCTATTCAACGTCCCATACACCTGGCAGATAAAACGGATACCGAAAATGGCGCGAGGCCGAAGGCATGGAATGCAACCATTCTGCAGTAGTTGTGCATAAAACCAAGCATGGAAACCCAAAAGTATTTCGCTGTATCACCTGGGACTCGATCGGAGGCTGTCACGGGGTCCGCGGCCTGCTGCTGCTGTTCCTGCTGTTGTTGCTGTTGACGTTCCTGCTGCTGTTGCTGCTGGCGGTGCTGGTGCTGGTACAGCTGCTGCATGTACTGCTGATAGTGCTGCTGCTGCAGCTTCCGTATCAAAACCGCTTGCTGAAATACAACAGATGCATAACTGTCGCAGCACCCTCACAACAAAACGGAAGGACGGAGAGAACGCAACAAAACGGAGAGAAAGTTTTCGTTCCTCATTTATCATTTATTCAGATCCACACAAAAAACGGCTGAGAATGCGTCGATAATTGAACTATAGTAGCAATCAGACTGTGTAAAATGTGATCGGATATAAGTATGTTGTCTTCATAGGCTGGTAGGTAAATATGACTCATCGACCAAATTTGCAGATGTGAGGAAATACATATATGAGCGAACCGTCACAGATCGTTTGAAAGTTACAACATATCAACTGAAAAAGTTAGCTCTTCAAGTGACCACAATCGTGCAGATCTTTCAAGCGTCCCCTTTCAAGTTTCAATCTAATGATCTAGCCAAAACTTCTTAGACATCCTGGCGTCAGTATTGAAGCTAACCCGCGCCCCTTAGGGCTATCGGCGGAACCTACCACCCATAGGAAGGGGGGAGGCGTTTCGGCCCCCCTAAGATCTCGGAAATTTAACGGCCGATTTTCAAAATTCAAACGGTGTTCGATAATCCTACCGGGGAACTACCTTGTGACCGAATTTCATTGGCCTAGGTCAAACCGATGACGTCACAGGTCAGGTCAAAGATCGGATTTTCACCGTTCACAGTCATTTCAAGAAATGTGTTGTGGAGTACATTGGTAAGTTATTGAAAATCATCGATGGTAAATTGCTCGTCAAACACATACTTCACTAGCTGAGGTCACTGATACCAGGTCAGGTCACAGAGGTCAGGTCACTGGGGGTCACAATATGAAAGTGTCGTGTGATACATGTTTTATGGTCCATTTTACATGACAAATGCGATTATGTGGGTCAGGCAGCCTTTAGAGCCAGTTAAGGTTACGTTCTGGTGAAGATCAGGTCAAGGTCAGGTCAAATTGAGTCAAATTTCAAAGTTGTTATTTTTGCATAACATGAGTATTGATTCGATGCAGCTCGTCACGGGGAGTCTAATGGTGATCTTTGTTTTGCCCTACATGGTCTAGAACTGCCAAAATTTGAGTTGGAAAATTTAACGTCATCATTTTTGAAGTTTTTTTTTTCGCTTTAACTTGGCCAAAAAAAGAGATATCGATCTGAAATTTGGTATGTAGCTACTAGCTACAAGACGGTAGGTATTATCATATATACACGTATTCCTGTTTTTTGAAATTCATTAAACTCTTTGGATTTTTGGCTATTATATCCAAAAACAACTTTTTATTTTTTGTGGTCTAAGTTTAAAAAAATCAAAAATCCGACACAGCGGTTTTATAGCCCTGTAAATTCTTTATCTTTTATGTCTTGATCATTTTTCTGTATCTTCAGCTGTAGGCCTGACAGCTCTTCTCGCGAAGCTCTTTTTTCGGTCGAAAATGGCAGAACATAACGTCATTTGTGGCCAACCTATAATAGCCTTTTGATTTTTTTTTGTGTCACAATGTGTAAAATTGATGCCCGGAGGGGTCCGGACAGTTTGGTGGGGATATCTGCAGCCGTTTAGGAGATATCGACGGAAAAGGACAGCCCCCCCCTACGGGGCGCGGGTTAATGAGATAAGATACGAAACAAATGTTTTATGCGGAAAAGACGACCACTGGAAGGGAGGTTCAAACAGTTGACGTGTGACAGGCGCATACCGTAAACACTTGAACACGAACTAACCAGTCCAAGCTCATGCAGAGCTTGGACTTTATATGAACGGCAAACTTTATGCATTTATCCTGGTTTCAACGTGGCTTTGCTTTACGATGGAGCGTGAGACAAATATGCCTACCACAGCTGTTTTACTTTAGCGAGACAAACATGACACTCCACGAAACGCAAGCAAAACACACTCGCAAAAACAGCCACTGTCGCCAAGGCTGGGACCTAAATCGCATTGAGTGGAATGAAAAGGAGCATTCACTATCATTTATCGATAAAAGCTATCAGGCAGCTGAACGACACGAGACTTGAGATGGATACAATCAAAAAACGCTGAACGGGTCAACAGGAAACACTGAACTCTACATACATACATGCTCTTGATCATATTGCCTACGATAAGATAAGATAAGATAAGCGCCAACGATAAGAGCGTCGCTGCGACAGGCCTAGGATACTACTCAAATCGCTTGTCTAAGTCACTCAGACAATAGGAACGTCAAATAGGTAGTGCCAAACACGTGCAGCAAACAAGAGACCCCTTTTACAATCATTGTCACGTTGAATCGAAGGCAAGTCTGTACTGTCACTCAGGAGCAGCATCTCTTAGTGGGCACTGCTGCCGTTTCCCTATTTGGTCAGATTCCTCACCAGGCTCACCACATTTGCCTTGTCCATCGTCAACAACTCACTCCGTACGGATCATCTGCACCAGAATCACAAAGTAGGTGAGCACGAAGCTCATCATCGACAGCATGGTCTCCTTGCGGACGATGAAGAGGCCTCCTCCGTGGAAGCTGGGTGGAAGACGCGTCTGCTCCACCAGCATCTGCAGGGCATGTCTCACCCCAGGCGAGAGACGGTGCGGCCACCGAGCTCCCACTAGAGTCGTGGTGAGTCGCTCCCCGCAGGTCTGCAGCCGACTGCCCGCGCTCGAGACAAACGCCACCCGCAGCGTGTTCAGCGTCAGGAAGATGATCAGACTGATGCGGAGGATCGCGCCCGGCCCGCCGGCGATGAAGAGGTTGATGGTGACATACACTCCGACCAGCAGCACGGCCGTGACGCTCGCGTGTAGTGAGAGAGTCGGCACCGAACAGAACTCGGCCGCCTCCGAGGCCAGGCCGTGAAGGGCGCGGTACGCCTCAGACAGACGCTCCAGGCCCGTCTCCAGGTCACCGGCGGGGTCACGCAACGCGGCAGAGAGCGTGTCACCCACCGCGGCGGAGGTAGGGCCGGCCGAGCCGCGCTCAATGTCAGGAATAGGACAGATCTCAGGGTGGTGCAGCCACAGGCCTTTTCGTGCGTCGCTCGGACGCGGCTTTACAAACATGCTGGCGAAATCAGCGGGGTCTTTCTGCGAGCCGATGTTATCAGCCGCCGACGCAGCAGACAAGTGAACTGGACCCTGATCCAGAGCCTCCACCTCCAGCTTCTCGTCGGGTCCCGAATCGACCAAGTCGTCTGCAGGTCGGACCTTGAGCTCCGACGCGAGCGACGCGCCATCCCTGCCGAGCGTGTCTTCCCTTGTGACGTAGCGTTTCGTGTAGCGGTCCAGCCTCTCCATACCCAGTGCCGCGGAGTCGAGCAGGCCGATCAGCACCGCGTCAAACACGGACTGGTAGGCGAAGGAGGCCACCACGGCCAGCACCTGCAGGCCGACGATGGCATTGAACCAGTCGGGCGTCTGCAGCGCGGCCGGCACCCACATCGGGAACAGGTAGTTGGGGTGCTGCCACGGCTTGGCGCCGCTGAACAGGCTGGCAGACCAAACGCATACGGTGGTCACCGAGAGCACCGCGATGGCCACGGCGCCCCGCTGGAACCGGACAAAGTCGCTCGGGCGGCCGCACAGCGCCGTGGCGGCCTCCAGGGCGGCGGCGCGCCGCAGCAGCGCGTGCAGTCGGCGGCGGCGGCGCAGCAGCAGCAGCAGCAGCAACAGCGCGTGGTAAGCGGCCAGGCCGTAGACGGCTCCGTACAGCAGCTCACCAGCAGAGGGGGCCGTTAGGAGGCTGGCCGTGTTACCGGCCGTGGTGACGATGGTCAGCAGCAGGGGCCAGATGCGGAGCGCGCGCCACAGCGGCGGCGAGTGGCGTCCGTCCACGTGCAGTCCAGACAGGGTGATCAGCGAACAGACAGACAGCACCAGCCGCAGCACTCGACTGTGACACCACATCTGGGCTCGGAGGGGGGCGGCGGTGGGAGGATAGCCGGCACTCAGCGAATCCAATCAGGAACCGGTGAAAGGGCTGGAGCAGGCTGGATGTTTCCTTTCGGCTCACCGTTTTTGTAACTGTCTTTGATTGTTCTTTCGACTTCTAATTTAGGATCTTCGCGCAGAAATGCTGATCAGAAATCGCAACCAAGATCCCGAAGTTCTGTTGTTATAAGTGATATTTCCAAGGCGATCTTCGGACCCGATATCCTCTCGTCACCGACCCTGTTTCGCCTCCTCTTCGCAGCGCAAAAGCAGCGACGTGCCTCCTAGCCCGAGGCAACAGCCTTTGCCGGCGAAGTCCACCGGCACCTGCAGTGCTACCGTGCGTGCGATCACGGCCAAACTCCGTGGTAATGTTTGCCAACCGCACCAAAGAGCATAGCGTCCATGGCTGCGTCAATGGCTGCTCTTTGACGAAGAGTCGTTCCCAGCGATAATGTATTCCATTTCGAGCATGTCGCCGATGATTGTCCAAATATCGGCGAGGTCGCTTGACCTAGACTGAGCCTCATTAATCTCTATTGCAGCCGTCGGTGTGGCGTTTGTTCCGCTCCGCCTATCGAGGCAATTCGCACACACATATCGGCATGGTGGCCATCGGTATCGACTCGATTCACGCGGAACACTGGAATACTGTTGGCCAAACAAAGTTGGTCGTGGAACGAAAGCCACCGCCTCAGCAGGCAACCTCCATCCAGTGAGCGCGCCCGGTTTTATTTGTCATTCTTTTCCACTGAGCGGAATTAATGGCGAATATTGTTGTTGGCATAGGCAAGCTACATCGCATCGTGTGTTTGGAGAACTTTATATAACAGGGCAACGACGACGTAACTGAGTATAAAACACAAATATTGTCGGAAGGGTCACTGGCCGAAGGATATGACATTGCAGTATCAATATCGGATCACGGACTATGTATATGGAGCTCTGTTCTATGAAATATGAGAAACTATGACACGAGTTTTTGATGATATGTACAGTTAGTGTTTATTACTTAGCCTTCAAACATGATCCAATATAGGACCAGGGGCGTCGTTTTGTATAGGCCTGGTAGGGCCCGAGCCCTACCAATGTTTATTTGGGCCCTACCAATGTTCGCTGAGCCCTACCAATCTTTTGTCACTTATCAGTTGGCAAAAAAAAAAATCAAAATAAACAGATAAGCAAATAAACATATTTGTACAGTCGTCACAGATGTGTGTGGCCTGCTGGGCCGTAGGAGCTGCTGTCGCGAACCCTTCGCAAGCCGGCAGGGGGTTCTCAGGGAACGGCAAGGGGTCCTCACTCCTCAGACCGGCAAAGGGTCTTCAGAGGCCGGCAGCACCTTCAGAAGTTCAGTGGGGTCCTTAGAGAACGGCACGGTACTCTCAGACTTTGGTGGGATCCTCAGAATAGCCGGTGTGAGCCACGCAAAAGTCACCGGTGGGTGTCCGTCAGATGCACATGTGTGGGGCTTTCAGAGGCGCCGGTGTGGGACCTGCACAGTCGCCGGTGAGGGCCCTCTTAAGCGCCGTTTCGGGGTCCTCAGATACACTGGTTTATGGCCATCACAGATATGCGTGGGACCGCTTAGAGCTGCTGAGCTCTGACGAGCCCTGTGGGGTCCCTTTGAGACGAAATATGGCCAGCGTGGACCCTCAGCGGCCGATTGGCGCCGCAGGGACCCGAAGGGCCCCCTGGACCCGATGGGAGGGGCACGTGCCCCCTGTGCCCGCCCCCCCTCACTTGGCTACGCCACTGGAATCTATCATGTTATGTTTAAGATCTCTGCAAGATGTATCCCCCGTTTGCGGACTCTGCAGAGAAAAGACAAGCTCGAAAGGAGGCTTAGCGCGGTGTTTTTGGCCCCTTTATCGAATATCTAGAATTAAAGTACTCGGCTTTTCCGGACAGTTTCGTGACTGTATTATTGTCACTTCGTCAGCGGTATACAAGTAATATAAACATTTTCGAATATCTAGAAGATGTCATTGACTTGTCACCGTAAAGGAATTGTGGGTGTCACGTGGGTGTCACTAAGGGACACCGTGCCGAGTTGCGCAAGTGGAAGCACACCGAGTAACGGCTACCAAATGAGTGTTACGAGTTGAAGTTAGTCGGCAAGGTGATAGTGGTTGCATTTTGGAATGCCGACGGGGCTCTGCTTGTCAACTTTCTAAAACAGGGGCGCACAATTGATGATGTGCGTCCATTCGATAGACATCGAGGAGAGGCTATAGGGAAGCTGATTAAGTGTGCACCTGATCCACGTCCACGCACTTGCGTACATGCGCGGGGTGACGATCAGTGAAGCGATGAAATGTGGCTTCGAGTTGTTGTCGCATCCACTTTTTTTCCGAACCCTGCACCCTCTGGTTGCCACCTCTTCCCCAACATAAGGAAATTAGCAGTGGCAACTTCGCTGACTGCAGGGAGACTAAAGCAGCCGTCTTGGACGTGGGATGGGTCCGAAACCCACTTGATTATGGAGACTTTGAGGGCTCTCCCGAAGCGCTACGCGAAATGTGTTTGTCTTAGCTGTGGTTATTTGAATAAATGAACTTTTTGGTCTAATAAGTCGATGATGTATCTCTCTACTTCTTCATGGTCGGGCAGGTAACTTTCTGAATGCCGGCTCGTACTGTCATCCTTTTATTTTGGCAAGCAGGCCTTTCTAACTATCGTGGTGTTTCGAGACCTCGTTAGTTGTCGAACCCTGCAAATTGCAATTGGCGCGGGCCTTCAAAGCCGCTCCTGGCCCCGCAGCAGTCTTTTTCATTCGGCTTGGGCCATCAAAACCGTTCCTGGCCCCTTGCAGCACAGCCGTGCCGTGGGCCTCTTTCAGAATGGCGTGCATTCCTCCGACACTATTATAACTGCCTATTTAACTGCACGTTTTGTGCATGGAGCTCGGTGAGGACCTAGACTTCCAAAATGTTTTTTTTTTTAGATTTTGGTTTGTCTTGTCAATGACCAGGGCGAAAAAATAAGTGGCCGAAATCTGATGAGAAAGGCAGATTTGGGGGTACCCTACCTTTTAAGTCCCGTCACATATGGCCGGCCGCCGCCTTTGGGCCCTACCAATCATTTTCGGAAAACGACACCCCTGTATAGGACCATAGTCTGCGTAGCGATGCCCGCAATAAGAAAGTTCTCAAATAATCGTTTACACTCTAAGCAATGGGTCCCATGAAATTAGAGGATCAGTATACGAGTACATGTAGTGACCCTGAACACTTGTTATAGAAACACACAATGAAATGTGTGCGTTTAGATACGCAGATGACAATTGGTGGACCTTGTTCAATTTCAGGGTACATGTCGGAAATCAAGGTATCAAGCAGCCAAGGTTCGTACAAGCAACATACGAGTACCTATGCATATTTGATTGAGCAGGAGGAGGGCATTTCATGGTGCGTAAAACCCCACCTCATTTCCACGGAACTTGCGTGAATAAATCATTTCATTCAGGCTCTTTGTCATCATTATGTGACTCGTCTTGGATCTACCCCTGATCGCAACCAATGAAGCTCAATTAAACTGCAGCAGGTGCGTTCACTCCAACATGCCCAAAGAAATGAACTTCAATAGCCAAGGACATCCTGATGATTCTCCTAATTTACGTAACCTACCAGAAATTAAGAACGTTAAATAAACTAATTCAATAAATATTCTTAATAAAACGGATTTTTGTTTGGTACTTGGTAGACTATCAACGCGCCTTATGAACCCGAAATGTCTTGTAACTGAGAGCTGTAATATCAGCAAAACACCCCTAAACAAGCGGCTATCATCGTCTGCAAACAGGAAGGGTACGTCCTTACATGTCCGTTACATAACGCCCCTGCCTCTGGCCGCCATCCTCCCGCGGACCTCATCTCCCCGTCGACTTATATCTCCAATTAGCTGAGGCAACCCGCCAATGGTGGGTGCAAGCTTGCAAACTGCAAACGCCGCCCAAACGATACAGCCAGAGTCGGAACGGTTACCATGTGGAGCGGGGTAAAAGCCAAAGTGTAAATAAATAGTGCCTAGCTCTGGACATTTGGTTATGTAAGATGAAATGTAGTCTCCTAGTCCACCAGACGCATAGGTCATGTTCGTGATGAAAGGGCTGCTGGGCGCCGGGCCGCAAGTGCTGAGGAGATTGCACTTTTGAATCTTCAGTAAGAATGGGAATCATGCACACGACAAGGAATTTGGTAAGGATTGGAAACGAGAAGCGATTGCTATGAGAGAACAATACATTCACAAGTCATACAGGAGCCAAAACGGACTAGTTATTTTGCAATAGCATGTCAATCGTGGATAGGCCCGGCTGAAAATCAACCTCCCTTTGTACCGCTACCGTGTGCCCCCCCCCCCCCACATGTTGCGGGGAGCTCCTTTCCCCTAGATACCCCATTACCACTGACCTGTTCGGGGTTTCCCGGGTACTGCTGGGAGGCGTAGACACGGAACTGTCCGTACGTCTGACGGTTGAGACCGTCCTGAATGCGCCTCCTGGAGAACGGACACAAAGTCAGGTCACAGGACGGGGTGGGAGGCGGCCGAAAGTAGTCAATTATGGTCAACTATCAGCTGCGCATGAACGAAATGTCTTAGCATGCTTGCACATATTGCACCAAAAAACATTTTGCGACACACAAAACATTTTAGTTGTGCTGAAACAGTCGCCCTCAATTAAGTTTCATTTGTACGGGCGTTAAGTACATACGCAGTTCACTCCATCACATATCCACACACACCTCCATGAGGTTCCCAACGCTACGATAGTCTCGTTTGGGAGTATGAATCGACCTTAGACTTCGATGTCCCTCATGTCCTCGTTAGCTGTTCATATCTAGCTTAATTACGAAAACATAGCAGTGGTAAACTGGTACTGCGTCCAGTACCATTAGGCATAACTGGACCTGAGCTCTGGATACTTGGTCATGTTACAGGCACTAAGACAGTCATCTTATTCTGACCCACTCTATGTGGGACGGCGTGGAAAAACCTGCTAAAACTATCAGTTAGTGCTAAAGCTTGTGACGAATACACTCAGAAATGCAGTGTCCCATAGTACTGTGCTGGCGGTTAGACTAACATCACTGTCAGTGACCGTCTTTATTTGAGCAATAAAGACTGAGCGTCTGGCTGCGGCAAGTCGAGGGGCGTGTCTGCCCCTCCAGTTCCCTCGTCTGACCCAGGCAAGAGTCGCTAGTCGGTAGTTGGGGAAAAAGATCCGCAATTATGAGTACTGAACAGGCTACTTTGAACGACTTCTTTCAGCGATGAGTACAGAAGAGAATGCAAGCTTCCTTAACCCGTGCCCGGCTGGGGGTCCTGGATTTCCACGCCCTGCTGGGGGGGGGGGGGTGTTTGAACACCCCCCCCCCTTCTAACTCGGCTCCTGGGCCACGTAGCGATACGCGGAAGGCGGCGTTCGAAAGAGCGTCAAAAATAATGACGAAATCACTTCGGTCAATTTTTTGATCAGGTCAAAGGTCAGGTCACCAGAGGTCATTGAAGGCAAAATTTCGCCGATTTCCAGGTCGAATGTCGAAAATTTCCAAGAAGCCAACGCATAACTCGGGAACCAATAGAGCTACAGCGCCGCGGAAAAGCGCATTCGATAGCCCTATTAACGCCCTTTCTGAGTAATTCTCTCAGATTTGACCTAACGTCAACGGTTTTGCCTGCAGGGGGCAAAAACTGCAAAAATAGCCGATTTTTTCGGAAACAGTTTTTCTGCAATAACTTTTGACCCAAGCCTTGTACGAGCTTACTTTTACCGGCATCGTGTTCCTCTCGTCAAGACGCATCGAATGAACTATAACTTGACCTTGAAAGGTCAACTTGAAAATTTGACCTCAGGTCAAGGTCATGACCTGACCGGAAAGGGTCATGTTGCATATCAGTCAATCCGTATCGTCGAGCTGAACACATCTAAGGTGTTTTCATCGCTCTAGCATGCCTCTATCAAAAGTTATTTGCGAAAAACTGTTAGATACCATTCGTGACCTAAGATGACCTCAGGGCATAAACAGGGGTCACGGACACCATTTTCATGTTCAGTGTGTCTAAACCACTTGTAATTCAGTGTTTGGGAGTGTTTATAATGTCTTTCGTCCAAAAGAGACGCATTTCAATTTTCTCCCATTGACTTATAATGGGGAGGTCGCAAAATTGACCTGACCTTAGGTCATCGATATCAAAATTCTGAGATATACATTTTGTACATGCTATTGTTCTTAGCAATCGCTGAAAGTTTCAAAGCGATCGGTCACTCGGTGTAGCTATGACAGACATTGAAACTTTTTATGAGGTGAGGTCACTTGAAGTGACCTGGTGACCTGACCTTGAATGACCTTGGTCTGAAATTTTCACAACATGTGTAGAATTGATGCATGATAAGGTGTACCAAAAACGGCGGCGCTCCGCGCCGCCGTTTTTGAGATATTCGCGAAAAACCACAAGGGGGGTGTTCAAACACCCCCCCAGCAGGGCGCGGGTTAATCCACATGCAATTTACTGTGCTTAGTTACGTTGAACTGTTTAGGAAGACAGGGAATTAGTGTCCGAATGACGACTACAGGTGAGGTCACATCCTTGTCATACAACTCGCGGTTGACCTTTCGAGCCACGCTGGTCGGCGTCTGTGCAGGTGCGTGACCTGACCCGACCTCCCCGAATGGGCTGACGGCCGCACGATAAAAACACGGCCTCACACCAGGCAGCGCGAGCGAGAGGGTCAGGGCGAGTGCGGCCGAGGTGGAAACGCCCCCACACATCTGCAACCCACCCAGTCCAACCATCTCCACCTCCTTGCATCACCCTTTCCAAGTTTTCCTCTTTTTCCTTACACCTTTTCAAACGCTTCCCTCGCTTTGCTCAGTAAAAAAAGAGGAAGGTGGGATTGCAGATTTAAGGAACAAATCGAATGAAAGGAGATTGTCATGAGTGTTACACATTAAAATATGTCGCATACATTTTCTTTTCCGTTTTCTACTCGATATGAAAATATGGATCCATGCTGACACCTTTTCAGGTCGATCTATGCATAACCCCAGCACACCGTACACAGACACAGAGGTCTTTACTGAGGTCTTGCAGAGGTCTATGATCTATGTTTATGGCGCTGCCAAAGCACAGTTACTGCACAGATCCGTTCTCTTTCCAAATCAAGCTACCTGTGAAAGGTTACTCGCGAATCGCGATGCAATACATACTTAAGGCAAAACAATACAATATCTCCAGAATCAAACATGTACTGCGGGCCCCAACTTCACGAGCCCGTCTCTGTTTATAAGGTGTTGAGCAATAGTGTCATGCAGTTCATATAATGGGCATCCGGCGCAGACTCAGCGTATACATGTGATAGTCAGCAGCAGTACCCGCCTCTTCTATAAATTAGTGACGTGGTATCACAAGCCGGTCTTACCCAAGTCATAGTTTCCTAGCTCAGTTTAAGAATTAAAAATTGTTATAGCAGGCCCAAGTCTTGGCAATACAATGAAATCAATGGCTCTCGGTGCCATTTATGATCTTTTCTCCGGTAGGATCAAAAGGCCTGCTAGTTTGCTATGCTACTTATCTGACTAACGAAAGTTGTCAGTCAAAGGTAGGTCCATATAGGACCTCCAAAGATTACTCGCACCCACTTGATTTATTTACAAACGTCGGTCATTCGGAAAACAACACGCCTGATGGTGTTAACGATCCGACAATATTTTCAGAATACAAAAGTCAGAAATCATGTTTGTCAAATGATTGCTTACGATTCAGCTAACTCCTGAACAAAAAAAGTGCAAACCACTACGGCTCGAGCCTCCCCCCCAAAAAAACACACACACACACACACCATTGAAAGCAAACGTTACAGAAAAAGCATACTTAGAAGGAGCAATACTCTCCTAAATTATTAATCATTTTATTAAGCGCAGTGCAGTGCATTAAGTGCATTATTTTCTCAAAGTGCGGTGGACGCGACGCACAATCGTCCGGGCGCCTTGTGGTGGCCTTCTGTGTGCGCTGCGTGTTTACCAAAGGAACGGTCACTGGTGCGGGTGGGCCGGTCCGGCGACAGCTCGTGGACGGTGGTCACGTGGGCTGAGCGCCACTTCAGTTCCACGAAAGGGCACGGCCCACTACGGGGTGGCTGGTCCTGAACTGACCCAGAGCGACCGGGTGCACTCAACGTGTGGATCCAGAACATTCGCGCCACTGTCTAGCTTAGTATTATATGCTAATTGCTATGCTAATGCTATGCTAATTATATGCTAATTAACCCGGCAGGCGGTGGGCCTACCAGCCACCTTCCGCGCGGTGGGGGGGGGGCATTTTTTGCCCCCCCCCCGTATTTCCGAAACTACTGGACGGATCCGGAAAATTCAAACGGCGTTCGATAGCCCTGTCAAATTTGTCGAAGGAAACCAAATTTCATTGACCTCGGGGTCACCGATGACGTCACAGGTCAGGTCAAAGATAAAATGTTTCACCGTTCACGTGGCTTCTAGGGAAAGCGCTATAACACCGAGTAAAACGCATTTTGTCGAAAATCAGCGATAAGGCGTCAGTTGTCTAGTACATATGTTGCTATTAGAGGTCACTGGTCATACCAGGTCAGGTCACAGGTCAGGTCACCAAAGGTCACCAAGGGTCACCACCACATGAGCCCAACTTTACTAAGGTTATGCGATGCATGTTTTATGGCCAGTTTTTCATTTCCAACTCAATGGTGTTGGTAATAAGACCATCAGGTACGGTTTAGGTCACTTTCTGGTGGAGGTCAGGTCAAGGTCAGGTCAAAAAAGGTCAAATTTCAAAGTTGATATTTTTGCATAAAATGGATATCGATTCGATGCAGCTCGTCACGGGGAGTTTAATGGTGGTCATTGTTTTGCGCTACGAGGTCTAGAATTGCTAAAAATTGAGTTTGAAAATTTGACGTCATCAATTTTGAACAGTTTTTTTCGCTATAACTTGGCCAAAAAAGAGGTATCGATCTCAAATTTGGTATGTAGATAGAAGGCGGTAGGGACTATCACATATATTCCGTTTTTTTCGAAAATCAAAAAACTTTTTGGATTTTTTGGCTATTGTGTTCAAAAAAATCTATTTTTTGAATTTTGGGGGTCAATATCAAAAAAAATCGAAAAAACCGAAATAGCAGTTTTGTAGCCCTTTTGATTCCACACCTTTTATGTCTGAAACATTTTTCTGTATCTCTAAAGCTGTAGGCCTGACAGCTCTTCCCGCGAAACCTATTTTTGGGTCGAAAATGGCAAAAATGACGTCACTCTGACGTCATTAGCGGCCAACCAATCATAGCCTTTGGAAATTTTTTGGTCACCATGTGCGCTAGCTGCTCCCGGAAGGGTACTGAAAGTTTGGTGACGATCGGCGCAGCGGTTCTCGAGATATAGGTATTGAAAAAACTAAAGAAGGGAGGGGCAAAAAAATTCCCCCCCCCCCCACCGCCTGGAAGGTTAAGCACGTAACTTTAACTCATCTCAGGCGCCTTCACCGCAAATGAGAAACGCCACGATCGTTTTCAGAGTTTTTGTGCACTATGCTTTTCAATATAATTGTTCCGACCACCAGTAGTCTGGAGGCAGTCTGAATATTCCCAGATGGATTTTTAACCACCGACGGTAGCATTGTCCGGGGCTGAAAGAGAGTGCATGATACGCTCATATGCAGCGTCAGCTGAGCGTAGATTTTACATGCAGAATGACACACGGTCCAGCAGCATGCTTATCCATCTAAACCGGGCCCATCCGCCACGAATTAGAAGTTAGTCGCTTATAGAGCCTGCACATAATTCAATAGTGCGCATGATGTGTGGCTTTTAACCATCTAATCATAAAAGCATTGACGCTGAGCTATCGACATCATTCTCACTCAGTTGAACACGCGTCAAATATGAATTACATCTTATATAAACAACTTATATCCCAGCATTTTCTATTTTAGACGCAAGGGCGTCTTCATAAAAAATGCTTCATTTTTTGAAAATGGCATACTATTACCTTGAAATAATTAAGGACGACTTAATCGCCAAATATGGGCTGGCCAAGCCCCCAAGCTCAGCGTTTTTACCGCACGTAAGAGCTGACATGTATAACGAGACGTCAAAAGGCACTCCGGTCTCGATCCCAGCTACGTCCCAGATTGGCGCCCAAGCCCCAGGCGTGTTTTCAAAACTGGACGCATTAGGGCGATCCCAAGATAGAATGCCCGATCTCTGGTAAGACTCTGCGGTTGACACTGGGCAGGATATTTCCGGCAGTCATTGAACATCTGCAAATCAAGCACGTCTGCGTGCATTGGGTAAACACACCAGAATAGCGCCAGCGATTTTAGCGTGGTGACAAACTTAGGACCGAATGCCGGCTCAAATTCAGGCGCGGTTTGGTTAGAGTGTGACCACTGAGCTCAGTTAAATCGGGTAAATGTGGCCGTGCTAGACATATGAACCACGCCATACCTGCCTATTCACCCTTAAACCTCGCCCGGCGAAGGGGGTTGCGTTGATGCACCCCCCCCCCCCTCAGGTTTTTCGCAAATAACGTAAAAACGGCGGTGCGTAGCGCCGCCAAATTTGACATACCCTCTGAGGCAGCCTGTTCGCACCTGTCCTGAAAATTTCAAGTCCCAGTCTTTTCAGGTCAGGTCACCAAGTCACGAAAACCGGCACAAGGTCAAGAGAAAATTGGACTACATAGTTTAGCGCCAACCGAATGCCAGAGTTATTCGTTGATAGCGTGAGTGCTTTGGCACGAAGCGCTACCAAATATCAGACACAACTTGGGGCATGTATTTGACACATGACCTGAGAGCTTTGGATTCCAGTGAAATGAGGTCAGGTCACAACTCACAAGGTCACAAAAACTGGTACATTGTCAAAATGGGACTAAAAATGCAACGTTTTGTTCATGGAAAATAGAGTTCCTCATCGATTTGATTCAAACTTGCAGGATATGCTCAGGTCACCGAGTGCACTCATATGCAACCCAGTTTTTTCAAATTCAGTTGACCTGAGGTCATCTAAAGATCAGCACAATTTGTAAGGAAATTTGCCCGAATGTGTAAAGATAATAGACTTGTGCTTTATTATAACGTTTTTGTGCTGTACTACCTTGATTTACATCTACTTTGTGTTTTCAAGCAGCAAGAACGCGTCGCTTGGGTCGGGTGAACTGAGGTCAACTAAGGTTAAACTACGTCTTTGCTAATAACTTGGCACACAATGAGGCTAGAGCTTCAAAAATGGCGTCGTTGTGCTCCTTGTGATCAGGCGGTTGGAATGATAGGCGATATGATGCATTTTGATTAAGTTAAACTTAATCAGTTATTTCAAATTCACTTAATTTTTAAGAAAATCTTAAGTTCACTTAAATTGGTAAGTGTATCATTCCATGCGCACGGACGTCCTGAGTTCACTGGTGTTTTTGTTTTTGCTCTATATGTTCTTGGTAAGAGGTTAAAAGCGAAGTTAAAAAACTTTTGACGTTTTAGCGAAATTTTTGCACTTATATGTACACCCCAAAAACCCCCTAAATATTGACTTAGAGTCGCCAAATTTTCACTGAGGCGAGATCTCCTATGGACCCATCTACCGTAAATTTGGCGTTTCTAAGCGCAATAGGAGCCAATCGCCAGCGGGGGGTCGTACCAACCCCCCTCGCCGTCCGTGTTATGGAAAAGGCCCTCGCATGGCGAGGGTTAACCCGGCCGGGCCCGGGGGGTAATCCCAACCACCGCAGTCCGGGGGGGGGGGGCGTTTCCCCCCCGTCTAACTCCGTAAATAAGGGAGCTACGGAAACAAAAGCGATACCAAACGAAAGGTCCTTACGAGACGATTCTTAACCCTATTCCTGGCGGGCTCCGCCGGGACAAGAAACTGGCGGGGGGGGGGCCGATTCGGCCCCCCCCCCCTGAGATCTCGAGAACGAAGCAAGATAGCGACAAGCGGTAAACGGCATCGGATACGCACGGCCAAGATCTACAATTTTTACTAAGGTCATTTTCAGGTCAGGTCAAAGATGACGTCACAGGGGTCGAAAAAGTCAAAATGGCGGCGCTAGATATGGAGAGAGTTTTTCTCGAATAACTTTCGAATTAGTCAAGATAGGAACAAACTAAGGGCATCATCGTGATCCTCTCGTCAATCCGCATCGAATGATATATATGTTGACCTCGAAAGGTCAAGGTCAAAGGTTGACCTCAGGTCACGTGACCTCGAGGTCATCATGTATATCATTCGATGCGTCTTGACGAGCTGAACACAATGAGACCATCCACGCGTCTGTATCTTGTTCCTGTACGGAGTTATTGGCCAAAAACCTTTGGTGACCTTTGATGACGTCACATGACCTCACAGCTGCCCAACAGCAAAACAGACCTCAAGGTAGTGAAGGTTGATCGTATATGAAGTCATGTATGGTATATGGGGCCATTCCGACCCGTTTTAGTGGTAAAAACAGGGAGTTGATTTTTCCCCCATTGACTTATAATGGGGAGGTCGCGAAATTGACCTGACCTTAGGTCACCGATATCAAAATTCCGAGATATACAAATTGCACATACTGGTACCCTAACTAAACCCTGAAGAGAAGAAATTGATCGGTCAAAAACTCTAGCTCTGGCGTGATTGCAAACTTTTCTGAGGTAGGGTCACCAAAACGCCTCTGGTGACCTGACCTGAGGTCAGATCAACTCAAAATTTTCAGACATGTTGCGTAGAAGCCTTTTAGGAAAAGTCAGAAAATTTGAGCTTCCTAGCTCAACGCGTTTGGGAGAAATAACCAAAAAACCTCGGGGGGGGGGGGCTCCTGAGGCCCCCCCCCCGCCAGGAATAGGGTTAAGCAATAAGCACCTAAAACTTTTTACCTCAGGTCAATTTTCAAGGTCAGAGGTCAAGGTCAAAGGCAAAAACCGGCACATGTGTAGTGATCTCAAAGTAAGCCTTCTAGAGGACGGCAAGCGGCATCAAACCGGCAAAATTGGGTGTCAAACGAAAGAAGAGAATCTGAGGATTCCGAAAATGTGCTCAAAATCAAAGGTCAAGGTCAAGGTCATGCTCAAAATTGACCTCAAACTTGGCACTTTTTCGCACATCTTGCGTGCTAACTTTCAAGATGTTTTGAAATGTTTTGAAGCTTATCAGTTCCCTATTTGTGGTTCCTCTTACGATACAAGGCTGCTCAAAGGTCAAGGTCACTGAAGAGTATCCTTGCTAGAGGCTATTTCACTAATTCAAGTTAGTAATAATAAATATTGCCATCAATTTTGCCATCCGGAAGCTCTAAATGAAGGCTTAGAGGAAAATAGATGCCAGATTCGTGATCAGCGGGTACAAATCCATCATAAACGACCTTTCATGTGTCAAGGTCAACCAGAGGTCATTCGAGGTCACATGAGGTCAACATAAAACTTGACCTTTTCCGAACAAAATATATATCATTCGACGCGGCTTGACAAGGCGAATGCGATGGTACCACTTCCGTAGCTCTAGGACCATTTTTGTCGAAGTTATTTGCGAAAAACTAAAACCACATTTCGGGGTCGTTGACCTGACCTCTGACCCCAGGTCACCAAAACTATTTTTCTATTTTTCGCTAGGTCAAACGCTACACAACCGTGCTCGTAATTTGTCTTTATCTCTAAAACTATTTTTAGCAGCTACTTGAAGTTTGCGTCTGTGACGCCGAAGTTTGCCGTGCAGGGGTCTAGAAAAATGGACCTTGTGACGTCATCAAGGGGGCTAGGTCCAAATTTTTTACTTCAGAAGATGTCAAATTGATGGGAGAAAAGGTACTGAAAGTTTCGCTTTCCTATCCCCAAGCGTTCGGGAGCTATCGCAAATATTCGCCAGGGGGGCGAAAAACGCCCCCCCCCCCGGGCCCGCGAGGGTTAATAGGCAGGTATTATGTCTCATCTTACTTGGTCTCTGCCTGTCGACTGAGTTCCAGCTCCCTCTGAAGGCGCTCCCGTTCGTCTGCCTGCCTCCTCTGCTCCTCCGCTGCTCTTTCCTCCTCTCTGGGAATACATCACGGGGTAAATATAACAAATTAAACCACTTCACGACGCTACGGAAACAACAGAACCCCGGCGCCAAAAGCAATTTCAAGGGCGTGGAAACGGAGAGGGAAAACACGGGAATGACACAGCGAGTGGGCACTGAATTACCAATACCCTCGGGCAAAATAAGATTACGGAGCGTTTACGTCCGTCCATCGTCTCCAGCTAAAGGCTCCAGGCCTGCTACCATCATCAGGTGGTCGAGAGCTTAAGAACCCGAAGCCAGTTTCTACTTGCACTCAGGCTTGCACTGTTCAATAAGTTGAAAACTAATACCTTCTGTCTCAACTTCCCGCAAAAATCGTTCCAAATGTGTCATCGAAAACGTGACGTCTATCACATGCTCTATCAATTCCTTTTTAACAGCTTTCACCCCTTTATTACGCCACTGTTCTCATAAACTCCACAATGTAAATGTTATAAAATTCCGCATACGCCCGCTCTGTCACTTTATCCGCACAACTTGCTGCCCCAGAATACCCGGACATTCATTATGGGAAGCGGGGTACGCTGGCGGGGTCACCCACTAATGCGTAACACTCGACAGCCTGCTGGAGGTCATGTCGGCACGATGGGGCGAAGCCTGCGGGCGTGGTGGCTCAACAGCCAATGGCAGCCAGGCGCCCTGCAATAGCCACCGCCAGCCAATGTGTACATATCTTTGTATATGCATAGTGCATAGTTATGGTGGATGTAAACCAGCCATAAACTACAGTAACCTATAATCCACGGTCTCAACACGGTAATCTCGAGTGGCAGACCCATAAACCCGAGTAAACACATCCATGGATCCACATATTTTGGGATCCATGACTGCAGATAAAACTGTAGGAAAACGTGAAGAGTTATTTCCGAGCGAAAAAAGAAATGTTAAAATATTTTGAAACAGACGCGTCGATTTATAATTTCCAAATACCGATCTTTCCGCCTTCGTCTCGCGAAGCTATCCAAGATTGCTTCAGAGCACTGGCAAAACTGCCTCGGATGCAGTTCCAGTTCAGCACTACGGCTATCTACCTACGATAATTTCATAGCAGCTTCGGAACTACACCAGATTATTCCATACCAATACCTAGAACAACTTTCTTTCGAGAAGATAATCTTCCGAACAATTTCAGTGATGTGACCAGTACAATTCATACAAGGCATCGCTTGCTGCGTATGCCCCCCTCCCCCCCCCCCTCCAAGGGGGATGCAACCAGCTATTCGCGATTACCATCGAAATGATACTGGAACCGTCGTGAGCTTTTCAGCACCTTCTACACCATATAATCGTCAACAGGATGACCAATCTTTACTCTTTATTGGTTTACGTTTACTTATCCATTTCCAGATAACTACCTTTTTGCCCAAAATCAGTACGACACAAAGCGAGCCTGTCGTAATCACTCAGGGGCTCTAAGTAATAGCATTCCATTCGTTATGTCATTTGTAGGCTCAGATAACTTTCGTACGGAAAGTTGGAAGACGATCAGAAATGATCCTGCATCTACTAGATGGAGTCGACGAAATAAGTCTAAGTCTAAGTCGTACAATTTTTCCATCTGAGGAAATCAAATAATCTGAGACGTAAAAACATTCGTAAACAGGGCATCGACAAACGCTAACGTCCAAGAAACTGACAAGGCCAAACAACAATAATTACGAGAAGCCAAGCTTGTTATCAGTGACCTAATCACCGTCAGAGGCATCTTCCGCTGGCCCCGAACACAGTCCAGACAGCGGCTGCCAAATGATCGAGAACAGAGCCTTTGAGGTGCTCCATTACGCCCGGAGAGTTCAAAGTAGCCTATGGCAGTGTGGTCGATTGTGTCGATAACCGTGCGAGCCGCTGACAATGGCCACAGCGCGACTTCAACAGAAACCGCAGAAGGGCTCTTGCCATGACTGAAATATGCATGCGTCAAAGGCAGCACAAAATATTTCGAGTAACTATCACAATGCTGATGTACCCGGATACGATAGCGTGTGTAGAGCCGCCAATGTGCCTATAGAGTACGGCCCATTGTTTGAAGCCGAACACAGTCTCAGGAGCAGTTGGGGGGCGGGGGGGGGGGCAGAGGCTGCGGGGTGTGTCATCTTTTTGGCGCATATGCATGTGATGCGTAACATATGAGATGCACGTGTTACGTACTTTGATAGCCCTAACGAGACGGAACGGAACATCATCTTTTATTACATCTTTACCAGGTCTTTTGCATGGGCGGGTTTTTCAACGGTTTAATTACGCGGAGCACGGATTTTTGCGCACGTCCCAGCCTCGCCGTGCCATCGGAAAGTTCCACGGAGTCAGGACGGGAAGCCAGGCGTTTAACATGTCAACATTACCAGACGAGAGCCAGCCTCATCTACAGGCCATGTAAAGGTCAAACTGTTCCCTGCGGCCGTCATTTGCACTGAAATCCGTTCACACGCCGCCCACACAGAAGTCATTATGAGCAGGTAGCTAAAGTCATGAAAATGCCACGGGTCCGAGTTTGCCACTGATGGCTGGCCGGTCGAACGTTTGCCACGTTAAGCTATTTCAAAGTGACGCCATGGTGACCACTGTAATGGCCAAGCCCAGACGACGGTCTACTTAAGCCAGTTATGGACGTGGTGGGTGGCCGAAGCGTCTCAATGGGGGCCTGACGAGCATAGCGGGGTAAAGCTGAATTTCACCCAATATACCCTGAAACCAAATTACCTATACGAGCACAGACAGAGCAAAGAGGGTTTGTTGCCCAAGGCGGGGGTCGCCATTTGGTCATTATCAAACAGCACTGAAGAAATCGTCTCTGTCCTATCCATCTCAACACTTGTGAGCCACGACCCTTACCTTCTGCGCTCCTGAGCCTCCAGGTCCCTTCTGTGAGCCTCGGCGAACGGTCGGAAGATCGGACAGGCGGCGTCCAGCATCTCTATGTAGCGGACCATAGAGTCTGGGCGGCTCATATCACCCAGCCGCTGCCAGGCCTCCCTGATGGACAGAGCGGGAGGGCAGAGCTGGTGAGCAGAAGGCACCAGCTAATGTGAACGTCTCTGTGATGGCTAAAGTACGATCTCTCGTTAAAATAAAACATATCTACCAACCGAGTTACAGGGGCGGATCCAGCCGATCCGTTTGGGGAGGGCAAAAGTTTCCGACCTATCCGACGACCCCTATCCGCCCCCGCACTGGGAGGAATGTAAAATAAATTTTCGATGGGGATGCAAAATTTTCTCAAGGGGCCCCACTGAAGGTTTTGGGCCCCTTTACTTTTTAAGCTGCCGATCATCGATTTATGAAAACCAAAAGTTAAGGAAACAATCCATACAGGAAGTTATCCAAAATGTTTGCATATTTCAGTGAACCTAACAAAATCACAGCATACCTAAATAAGTGAAATGCAACCAGTTTTTTTACTGGGTGATTTTTCTTATGCTAACCACCACCCGCAAGCCTCAAACCACTTTTCTGGATCCGCAGTGGACCTTTGAGAGCCCTACGGGTCCGCTCTTACAAGACCGTTAAAAAACCTCTGGAAACTGAATGACTCAATGGAGGCTCCTCCAGAAGCCTTCACGACTTCTCAGATTGAATGAGTCCCCGACCAGGGTCGGTTCCTCAGAAGGTGCTGAAGGGTTTCAGAAAGCAGCGTAGGCTCGAGAGTCTGGAAAGTTCTCAAAGACCGGCATCGGACCCAAAAAGCCTGTATGGAGGCCCTCAAAAACCGAGATAGAGGCCAAAGGAGCTGATGTTTAGCCTAAAGAACCGGTGTGGAGGAAAGGGTAGGAGTCTGAGTGAGGCCTTCAGGGGCAAGCGTTAGGGCCCCAAAAGTATGTGTGAGGCTCTTGGAGGCAGGTAGGTCCCTGGAGCGTTCATGGGGTCCCAAGAGCTCCCGTGTGAGCCCAAAAATTCGGCTTCATGTCCGTGGAACATGCATGGGGATTCTTAGAAGCCGCTTGGACACATATTTGATGGGTCGTGGGTACCAAGATCGATGTAATGGTCCTAAAAGCCGGTGTAGGGCCAAGAAGTTCCGGTGTTGAGACTCTCAGAGGCCGGCGAAGGGGCACCAGGAGCGGATACAGTGTCTCAACAAGCCTACATGGGACCTGACAATCAGTGTGGAATCCCACGAGCCTGCGTAAGCTCTCAGAGACCTTTGTAAGGCCCTCAAAGGTCGTTGTGAAGGGCCTCTGAATCTGAAATCTTCGCGGGGCCCCGAGGCCAGCGTGTCCCCTGCCTGCGTTAAGGCCCTCCAGAGGCCGTCGTAGGGTTCTTCATAGGCCAGCGTGGGCCCTTGGAGCCTTCGTTACAGGACTCTCAGAGGTCAGCATGACCCCTGCAGTCTGCCTGCGTTGAGGCCAGATCAGAGGCCGTCGTGGGGCCCTCAGACGCCAGCGTGGGCATTTGAAGCTTGCGTTGGGTCCTAGAGATCGTCGTGAGGGCACTCAGTGAACGTCTCGGGTGGAATCACTGTGGAAATCGTTGTGAGGGCCCTTAGAAGCCTTCAAGAGGACCATCAGAGGTCATCATGAAGATCCTTGGCCATCATGACGGTCTTCATAGGCCCTGGGCCCTCAGGTATCTTTGCAAGGCCCTCAGAGGCTGTGGTAAGGACATCAGAGTCCATCGTTAGGGGCATCAAGAGACCGTCACAGGTTCCTCAGATGCCAGCATAGCCCCTGCAGCCTGGTTGTTTTGGGGCCCTCAGAGGCCGTCGTGGGCCGTCTAAAGCCCGATGGGCACTCAGACCTGAGATGGGTCTAGGACCGTGTCACGAGGGCCCTCAGAGACCGCCGTGGGGGCCCTCAGAGGCAGCGTAACCCCTGGAGTCTACGTGGGGTCCTCAGATGCCGTCATGGGGCACCAAACGCGGTTCAGGACACTCCTAGCCGGTGAGGGCCCCAAAGACCAGCATAGGGCGCTCCTGACCAACAACTGGACGTCTGATGATCGGTGATCCCACATGATCGTTCGTTTCCCGATCACTGGTTTTTAGGATTAAATGTATTTGGTGGTGTGACAGGCCTCGGCTCTTATACGGCTTTTGGAGGGTGCAAAAAGCTATGTTTGCACTCCAATGTTTTCCATGGGTCTGGAGCTGAACCCCTGCACCCTCTATCCGGATTTCCGCTGCCCTTGAGCACCGAGATGACCAAACGACTTCACAACGCCACACTATCTACATGCAATCAGTTCAGGGAGTTCGATCTATTAACAGCATTCTGGCATAAATCATCAGCAGCGAGCGTCCAGCTCCTTACTTCGGAATGGCCGTCACCGAAAGTCCTGCTTTTCGTCCAGATAGTCCTCGACACCGTATTCAATTTTATCATCTCTATATGCTTTGGGAGGGGCAAAAGGACAGCCTTGCCCACATGATTTAGCTTTGGGGAGGGCAAATGCCCATTTTGCCCTCCCCTGGATCCGCCACTGCCGAGTTACATCTGCCTCAGCTACAAAAGTTTTCACGTCGTCGTTTGAAACAGATGTGCACTAGTCTGCCATCTGCATGGGCAAGATTCGAAGCTGTAGTTACTCAGGTTGACCACCAGGGGTTCTTGTCATCGATGGAGCAACGTATAACGATGAAATTTTCTTGGCATGTATGTGACCCCCAATCCCCATCATTTTGTCATGCATATTGCCTATTGGTGTCACTATAGACCCGACCGGGCATCAACCATGATGCACGCAAGCACGCAGCTAACTGCAAAAGCTTACCATATCCAAGTAATTACTACAAACAGTGCAAAATGACTTTTCACTCAACTGAAGCATATATCACTTAAAATATTACTCCCACCCTATCCGATCTCACACTTCAGCGATGTTCCCCGTACCTCCTGTCGCGCCCGACAATGTCCAGTACCCCCAGTTGCGGCAGGGTGTCGGGCCGACATGGCCCGTGAGCCACCTGCTGGGTGAGAGACACAAACTCCATCCGAGCAGCGTAGCTGAGCTGCAGCGCCTTACCCTCCTTCTCTGTGAATAGACGGCGAGGTCAGGCCGGTAGTGGGCTATGGAAAGAGGCATAGATGACCATCAGAGAACTGTGCGTTGCTGATCATTTCACTAACGGACTTTCACTTATGTGAACTACTTGCGACGAAAAAAGGCAGTAGGTACCTATTAATACATACTCGTACAATAGCCGCTGCTCATAAAATCGAAAAATCGAAGAACGAATGCGAATTACGTAATAAGTACAGCCAAGGAGAATTATCTTGTCGTCACCACTGATACACAATCATTTCAAAAGCTAATACCCTGTTCCATAAATAGACTTAGATCATTTCTATGATGTTTCCGAGGTGTCTGGGAGAACAACGTAATATCGTAATACTGAGCCGGGTGGTATCGGTGATACGGTTACTATCGCAATAAAATACATATTTTATGCCCTCGGAAGCCATATCAGACGCAGGATTCCGTTTTATGACGACAGACGGTAATGCCATAATGCTATGAAAGAGGTGCATCAGCTATATGCACATACACACATATCACCATTATCATCATCAGTTTGTTAGTGGTGGAAACTGGCAACTCGAATATTCTGAGGTCGCACATAATATTTAGGAACTACAAAAATAGGCACCTTTGTAAAACTTGACAGCCAAGAGGTAGAGTTGAGAAAGATCAAAGCCCCATTTCTTCTCATTTTCACAGTCATTTTCATGGCCCTGCATTTCTCCAAATACTTGATGGTATCACAGCCTTCAAGCTAGCTTGAACCTGCAACACAAATACATATCAAACATAACATAGTAGCTTAACTTTCCATCTTTAATTTATGCAGTTATCAAACTAGACAAGATGAAGCTATCAGATTACAGGTAAGCCAAGATGGTGAAGATCACCTTTTGCAGCCTGGGCTCAAGATTGAATAACAACCACACCATATTGTCACAATAATATCAACCTAGAAACCTGGGAATTACTGAAGGTGAGCTTGACACTTTTGTTGAAGGGTAAATGTTGTTGCTTTCCATGTTTTTCAATGCTGTGAATCTAAAAATATTGCTCATAAGTGCAGCAAATGTCATTATAATCCATTGAGGGGTCAGCTGAATCAACCTTATATAACTCAACCCAGCCTGGACTTCTCGTTCCACCAGAGGTAAGTGTTAGGTAAGTGTAGGGTTAGGTTAGCTTAGCTTAGCTTAGGCTGGCTTAGTTTAGGCTAAGGTGGGTTAGGTAAGGTTAGGCAGGGTAAGATAAGGCTGAGGCAAGTCAGGTATGATCTGGTGACCTCACCTGAATGCACTATCATGATGTTTGCTGCACTAACAAACATCATTTTCAGATTCAGGACGTTGAGCTTGAAAAACATGGTAAGAAAGGATGCTGAAATACACATTGATAAGAAGCAAATTTATCATTCAAAATCAGGTATACGGCCTGGCATCCCAGGCAGATGCCAGATAGTAGATACTGTTGAAGGTTGTAGGTTTGTAGGTTTGTAGGGTAGGTTGTAAGTTTGTAGGTTTGCAGGTTGTAGGTTTGTAGGTTGTAAGTAAGGTTAGGTCAGGTCAGGACAGGTTAGGTTTGTTTTGGTCTATATCTCTCTGTTGTCCCAATCTGGCATCTTCATGGGCTGCCTTATTGATTTTGGACTTATGCCCATAATCATGTGGACCTCAGCTTCAGTTTTACCAAAAAATGTTTATATGATCATTTATTCCTAAAAACCAGGTAGGTACACCCTTATAAGCTTAGAAAGATACCTATGTTGATATGTAATGTAAAGAAAGATATATGATCATTTCCTCTTTTGCACTCTTTTAAAACCAAAGAAATTCACAAAACAGAATCATGAAAAGAAAGAACACATCCTTCTAAGGTAGAAAAGTGAGATCACACATGGATACTTACGATAAGTTTTACACAAAACATTTATAATTTACACCCAACCACTCATTGAGTCGGGTAAGGTTATGTGGTATACAAGCAGATTTAGGTTGTAGGTTAGGTTGTAGGGTAGGTTATAGGTTGGTAGGTTGTAGGTTGGGTAGTTTGTACTTTGTAGGTTAGTATATGTAGGCTAGTAAGTAGGTAAGGTTAGGTCAGGTTAGATTAGGTTTTTTATTTCTGCTTGCGTTGCACCTGATTTTTTTTAGCATTAAAGGGACCCTCCCACCTTAACATTAGTTTTGAGTTGAGATAGCCAAGTTTGCGGCCAGGCTAAGCAGCATATACCACCGCGTGCTGCCAAACGTTTTAGTAAAAGATTTAAAAATCGTTAGATCTCCGCTGACGTCACAAATTCTAAGGGGGCATACCAATGCACTAGCCCCTTAGAATCCGAAAACTGCAAGTTTGAAATTGCATATCTCCGAATTAAAGCATTTTTCGATGTTGTGAATGCCCAAACCGGTATTTTCAGGCCATGGCCACCAATTTGGCTATCTCAACTCAAAACTAATGTTAAGGTGGGAGGGTCCCTTTAAATGATTGAATGAACAATTTTCTAGGTTAATGACAATATGGTTTGTGATTATATGGTATGACTTTTATTCAATTTGAGTCCAGGGTGCAAAAGAGGGATTTAACCAGATACCTATGTTGATGTGATGGTATGTAAGGATAGGTCTCTTCGGCCTTCACGTTTTTATTCTATGAATTTCTCAATCTTTTAGAGCATACAAAAGGCAGTTATAGCCAAAACATTGCCTACTCACACAATCATATTGATGTCCTATCATGACTTGACAATTGACATCTACAAGTTTCATCATCATCTTTTAATTTACAGGCCCTACCTCCTGACAAACCGCAACCACACCTTCTAGCTAGCCATGCTGATGGTCAGTTGTTGTTGTTGTTGTTGTGGGTTAGGGCGCGTAGCAACTTGGCTCTTGCGTCCAACTTCTTTTGATGACAGTCTTTCTTCTTCTTCTCTTCTTCTTTGTGGGTAAAGGGAACTAAGCAGGGTGACTAAGCAGGGTTACGGATTTAGGATAGGTATAGCCGTGGTGTGGACTTGCTTTGGGAGGATGTAGCGATGAAGATTTCTGCAGAAGACAGAAGTGGTTAGTTTTCAGCCATAGTTGTGGCATCCTGATGGTTACACTACTGAGGTTTCGACTAGGCTACATAGACCAAGAGAGGTGGTCTAAATACGATAGATTCTGAAAGAACTACTTTGGGGTGAAAACTAACTATAATCGAAATACACTGCAAAAACAGACAATAGAGAGCAATTGTCGTCGATAACACTCACTCTAAGTAGTTCGCCAAAGTCACATTTTTGACATCACAACATCACATCGTCTCACAATCTCTGAGCAACATTGCATTCAGTAAGATATGCAAACACCGCATCCGTGATCAAGGGAAATTCATTTCCCAGTAGAGCTGATGGTCAGGAAAAATGTGGTTTTATTATTTTTTACCTTATTATATTGCATTCTTAATTTCTATTTCCTGCATTTATAACAAAAATACTAAATAGGTAAGTAGGTATGGTTGTAATGCAAATAAATAATAGATACCCATCAATAATTGCCTTTGTCTAAATATTTGATAAATTGATAATAATATCTCGTGCTTGACTCACTTGAGAATGGAAAATAAGCGTGAAAGAATTACGTCAGTCCGACAAAACACTTCAACATCAACATCAAATATCACCACCATCCAATCGTAAACACAGCAAGTCCATCATGTTCTATAGGAGTTCAATGTTCTTGTTCAATTAGGTGTGCGTGATTATTATGGGATTCTTTTTTAGTTTTTTAGTCACTTCCTGGAGGATGAGCTTAATTTTGTACCGTAATATGCAGTTCTTTCATTTTAAGCACCCGAATTCGAACTTTATCTCACTCATTTTGGCCTTTTAAAGTCATTTTACCTCAAAGTTGTTTGAGTCGCAAATAGCAGTAAGAGCTGCTGATGAGCACTAAGTTCTGCGCAGGTGAATGAAACTTTAGCGCTGAAATTGTCAAATAAAGATTGTGGACACCATTACTAAATAGTGATTTTTACGAGAAAGCCACTAATCAGTGCCTCAAAGTAGATGAATTATGAATGAATTTATCTTATTCGTTTGCTATTTGCGACGCAAAGCACTATCCTTGTCAGCTTATGATGATGTTCATTTTATTAAATATTTTTTTTGCGTTGAGTTGGTGCTCGTCGCCATCCGGCATCCGCAACGGGATGTTTGAACTTGGTTTGAAGTTTGAACACACATCCAGGAACCGGCCATGTAGCGTTACGCAGCAAGCAGTGCTCGAAAGAGCGTCAAAAATCGTGAAAAAAAGAATAATGGAAACTGTTTAGGTCACATCAAAGGTCAGATCACCGGAGGCCATCAAAGGTCAATGTTCGCCCATTTCGACAATTTTCGACGAATCGGTAGGTACATAACTTGGGAGCGGACAAAGCTGCAACATGTGCGGAAAACCGGTTTTCGACAGCTTTCTCAAAGTTTTTCTTCGTGAGTGGTGCTCTCGATTTGACATTATCCCTATTCCCAACGATTTAACCTTTAGAGCCTCCAGGCTCCAGACAAAACTATCAAAATTGACGTTTTTCTGAAAAAGTTGCTTTTTACAACAGGCAACTTTTGCCTCAGAACCTGAACGACGCTGGCTTTAACAGCATCGTGCTGCTCTCATCAAAACACGTCGAATGAACTCATGAACTACCTACCAGTAAAACGCCTTTTGGGCGAAGAACGAGCGAGCGAGATAGTGAGCCCTGCACGTGCGGAAGGGCGAGAGGGTGCTTCCAACGGGCTTGCGCAAAGCACCCTTCTAACCGGTCGCTAGCGGTGTGCCAAATTTGAACGCAATCGGCCCAGCCGTTCCTGAGATCTGGAAGCGGCATTCTGCACGTGCGCACGTGCAAACGGGGTCCAAAATGACTTTTGCACGGCACCCTACTAACTGGTCCCCAACCGTGTACCAAATTTGAGCGCAATCGGTCCAGCCGTTCTCGAGATCTGGAAACGCCCCCTGCACGTGCGCACGTGCAGAAGCACCCTAACCGCAATACATGGGAATGCATTGCCTGGTGGGTGCCTACCTGTATGCCAAGTTTCAGCGAAATCGCCCCAGTAATTACCGAGTTACTGAAATGGGAACAAATTTGGCACCTCTTCTTTTTGCATTTTGCACGTGCAGTGGGGATCCCTCACATAGATCAAGAATATCCGACCTTTGGTAGAAGGGATGCAGCTACCCAACAAAAATTACCGCAAGACAATCGCCCAAGCGGCTGCTGAGATATGGGCCTCTCAAAATCACTACTTTTGCAAAACAGCTTGAACACCCTTGACTTTTCACGTGGCACGTGCCACGACGGTCACTGAGATGTATCAAAAGTAGTCAATTACGGGGTAGAAGGGATGGGGCTATCCAACAAAAAAGACCGCAGGCCAATCGGTCCAGCGGTTGCTGAGATATAAGCCTCTCAAAAGCGTTACAGGCCGGGCCGGGCCGGGCCGCTCATACTGAGATTTTTCCGTTATATTGAAAAGACTCACTTCGCTCGCTGCGCTCGCTCGCTCGTAATAAAACGAGATATTAGGTATAAACGAGATATTTCATACTGAGATATTATAAAAGAGAAGTTGTCGGTCTGTAACAAACGAAAAGTGTCATCGACATATGGGTGTCTTGTGCCGGAACGGCGCCATGTAGGAGCGTAAAATTTGGCAGGCACCAAGCGTGGCTTATATCTCAGCAACCGCTGGACCGATTGGCCTGCAGTCTTTTTTTGCTGAGTAGCCCCATCCCTTCTACCCCGTAATTGACATCTTTTGATACATCTCAGTACTTTTTGGACTTATTTTAATATCATCATTTCATTGTATCATGAGCATAAGGTCATTTTCTACCATCATAATATTCATAATTATGCGCAAACTAGCCATAGCTCACCTCCAACGAATTTTTCCGTTATATTGAAAAGACTCACTTCGCTCGCTGCGCTCGCTCGCTCGTAATAATTTGAATTTATTTAAAAACAATTTATTTAAAAATAATTTTTAATTTGATTTTATTTAAAAACAGTTTATTTAAAAACAATTTAGGTTAAAGCCTGACCGAAAGGGGTGATAGGGGAAAGTGTGGGGTGGGCACCTTAACTTTGGAGCCATTTTTCGGCCGGTTAGAAACATCATAGCCAAACGGGAAACTGAGTGGAAACCTCTTTTAGAGTTAGACATATTAGTTCCATTTGCCAGAAGATGAGACTTAAAGATGAGACTTGTTAGCTGGGAGACGGTCACATACATAGGTAGGGCAAGACGGCCAGCTTCTTTCACCGATCAGCGCAGCTCGCAACAAATGCCCGAGATTAGCCGCATTGATACAGTCGCTCGTTTAGGTCTCAAGTGCTTCGGGAAAGGCAGTAGGTATACGAGATTCATGCAGAAGGCGTATGCTCGTATAATAGGCCTTAGTTCTGAAGCCTTATAGAGCCGTTTTTCACATTCATTACATATATACGAGAATAAACTGTGCCGAAAGAATACTCGTATTGCTAACATGTCTGTGAGTATCGAAATCAGACATATTCTTAACAGAAATACTTCTTTTTTCCTACATAAACAACAATAGGTATTTTCACAATTACAGACCCATTGGATCTATAGTTGCCCGTCTTAACCCAAACTCAATGTCAGAAGTTCAGCACGATTTTCTCTGTGGACAATTTATGCAGACAAAGCAAATCCGCGGTAAATGAACACTGCCGGCATATGTGTATACCACAAGTGATTGCGAGTTTTTAACTCTATAGTGCTGCACACAAAAGCTTGCACAATACATTATGGATGTTTTCAATGAAATGAGTGTTTTTAAAGAAATCAAAATAAAAGATTATTGACTGAACACAAATTACCAGACTTCAATGGTGGTGTTTAGTGAGAACGGCAATTCTGGTCCTACATAATTTTTCTCGCTCGTAGCGCTATTGGTTTGGTCTGCAGGAGGGCCGGGGTGCCCGTCTTACCCAAGTCTTACCTACCCTGACCGTCTTACCCCACTTTCCCCTAGATAGGTAAGTAATAAAAATGTCATCAGTCACAGATAACAGTAGTACTACTGTTATCTGTGCATCAGTCAATCTGAATGGCGTTGAATTAAACACATACCTATTAACCCGCGCCCCGTTGGGCTCTGCCGAGCAACGCGCCCCGTTGGGGGGCCATTTTGCCCCCCCTCCAAAGATCTCGAGAACCACGCAACCTAGCGACAAGCAGCAAACGGTGTTGGATAGCCCTATCAGGGAACTACCTTGTGACCCAATTTTATTGACCTAGGTCAAACCGATGACGTCACAGGTCAGGTCAAAGGTCCAATTTTCACCGTTTACAGGCATTTCAAGAAATACGTTGTAAAATCGAGTAAAATGCATTTCATTGAAAATAATCGATGGGGAAATGTTCTTCAAACACATATCTTGCTATTTGAGGTCACTGATACCAGGTCAGGTCGGAGAGGTCAGGTCACGGGGGGGTTCTTAATATGAAAGTGTCGTGTGATACATGTTTTATGGTCCATTTTACATGACAAATGCGATTATGTGGGTCAGGCAGCCTTTGGGGCCAGCTTAGGTCACGTTTTGGTCAAGGTCAGGTCAAGGTCAGGTCAAGGTCAGGTCAAGGTCAGGTCAAATTAGGTCAAATTTCAAAGTTAATATTTTTGCGTAAAATGGGTATTGAATCGATGCAGCTCGTCACGGAAAGTTCAATGGTGGTCTTTGTTTTGCCGTACATGGTCTAGAATCGCTAAAAATTGAGTTAACAAATTTGACGTCATCATTTTTGAACATTTTTTTCGCTATAACTTGGCCAAAAAGCAAGATATCGATCTGAAATTTGGTATGTATATAGAAGAGCGCAGGGACTATCACATATATTCCGTTTTTTCGAAATTCGGAGAAATTTTGGATTTTTTTTAGTTTTTCTAAAAAATCAATTTTTTGAAAATTTTAGGGTCGAAAACCCAAAATTTTGAAAATCCGAGATGGCAGTTTTGTAACGCCGCTTTTTGTCTACTAGACCATATAAAGAACTTTGAAATTGCTTGATAATTGTGGATTTGGTGAGCGTTTCAAGATTGCATGTTTTTTGCTCATTTTTGCTCGAACATGACCTCAGTTTGACCTCAATAACTCCTGACCTAAGGTGACCTAAGACTTGAAATTTGGTGTGAAGGTGTCAAATTGATGCCCGGGAAGGTACCGAAAATTTGGCCGCCCGCCGTTTTCTTGATATTCAGGAAAAACCACAGGGGGGGCCAAAATGCCCCCCAACGGGGCGAGGGTTTTAAGATGTTTTCGTCATCCAGCACGTCTCTATCGAAATTTATTGAAAACACTTTTTGGAGACTTTTATGACCTGAGAACACCTGAAGGCATGAAGCGGGGCTAAGGGTGTAACTTTCCGATTCAATATGTCATTTTTACCTGCTACCCGATGGGGCTGTCCCACCGATAGGGGACAGTACCTACAGTGTGTCCGGAAATTATTTGCCCCTGGTTCATTTAACCCGCGCGCCAGTGGCGGTCTCAGCCAACTTCGCCCTGGGGGGGGGGGGGGCATATGTTACCACCCACCTCTAACTCAAAAACTAAGAGGGCTAGAAAGACTCGGTAAAAAGCAGTCGATAGCTCTCAATGCGTACGTTTGAAAGTATTTCGGTCATTTTTCATATTAGAGCAATATTGGGGTCACTGGAGGTCATCAAAGGTAAAAATTTGCCAAATGTCATTATGTTTCTCAGAAAACATGCATTTATTTCAGGAACTATGATAGCTAGAAAAACGCATGGGAAAGCAATGGATAGCTTTTGAACTCTGCTTTTGATAAGGTCATCATCAAAATTGACCTTAGGTCAACGGTTTAGCCTCCAGAGGGCAAAAACTCCAAAAATAGCTGTTTTTACGTAATGTGTTTTTCGACAATAACTTTTGACTAAAAAAAGCCACAACATTTCTATTGCCAGAATCATCGTGTTCCTCTCGCCGAGACGCGTCGAATGAACTATAATTTGACCTTGAAAGGTCAACTTGAAAGCTTGACCTCAGGTCAAGGTCATGACCTGACCGGAAAAGGTCATGTTGCATACCATTCGATGCGTCTCAACAAGACAAACACAATGAGACCATCCCCAGCGTCCTATCTCTTTCCAATCGAGAGTTAAGTGGGCAAAAATATGTTTGTAGCCTCAAATGACCTCGGATGACCTTTCTAGAGGCTATCAGCAAAAGCGACACCCTGGTCGTCACGGGTGGTCCAAATCATTGTGATTCTGAAATATTTGGACTGTTTCTATACGTACACACGGATCTAGAGGCATTTTCATTTTTCTCCATTGACTTATACATAATGGTAAGGTCACGCCACTGACCTGACCTTAGGTCACGGATATAAAAAAATCCGAGATATACAAATTGTAGGCGCCCTGAACATCATGCAATCCACCAAGTTTAAAACCTTTCTGACAAACACTGCAGGCTGGACATGATTGCAAACTTGTTTAGGCTTGATCAGTTAACTTGACCTGGTGACCTGACCTGACATAACCTGATGTCAAAAATTTCACATATTGTGTAAAATTGATGCACAAAAAGCTTGTCCAAGCGGTCTACAATGACGAAAGAAACTCTTTGACAAAGCGTCATCGTGCAGAAGCTATGGTGAAGACTGGAATGAAGTAGGAAGTCAAATCGAATCCTCTGCCCTAATCCCAATCGAAAACCTATGGTAGGTATATCATGAAGGAGGAGCTCAGCAAGATTGAACCAGCTCCCACAGAAAACAGACTTGAGGAATGGGTAGGACAGGGCAGGGGATACATCGGTAAGTAAACCATGGCCTTTGTATGGGGGGGGGGGGCTCTTTGTATATTGATTATGGCGGCGAGTTGATGAAGGGGCAAATAATTTCCGAACAACCTGTACATAGCATATTGTGGCTGCACTTCCCTGCAGGTCGTGACTCGTGGGTTGGAATAATGCAACAAAAGCCAAATAAATAATTAAAGTACATACATGCGTCATCTGACGAAACGCACCGTTACATTTTGCTCACCTGTTCAAGGGTGGAGCTTCCTATTCACTTGGTGCAGGGCGCCTGCCCCGCCAACTTGCCATTTTGCCCCACCAATAAGCGTTTTGCCCCACCAACTTAAGCCCATTTGTAGGACTTTACTGCTTAACAAACCTATGTTTTTCGCATTGAGGAGCTTTGAAATGTCTGTGTAATGCAAAATATGATCTCTGTAATGAAAAGAATTGATTTTGATTCATTGTTGAATTTTATCTAACTTAACAATCGGACATTGTAGGTTTGAAAACTTTTTGCCCCACCAACTTTCCTGGAAAAGCTCCACCCATGCACCTGTTTAATGGAATTGCGCTGTAGATGCGCTGTGGTACCGACGATAATGCCCTCTGCTCTGTCGGCTGCCGGCGTGGTGCTGTCATCAGTCTCACAGCGATTACCTGCCTGTCATCACCAGCCGACACCGGATGACGCAAACGGATCCATTTATCCACCGGTACGGCTTCAATGTATTATGATTGGCACAGTACGGGATATATTGTTTTCATACTCGGCACATATCGACGAACGAGGACACGGTATTATGCGCAAGAGTTGGACATCCAATAGACGCAGTTATCTCACCAAAGAACATCTTTTAACGCCGACAATCGGTCGCCACCAGCGTCGATCATCGGAAAACTCGTCGCGTTTGAGCGCTGCAGTTCGTCGACGGAAACTATCTCCACGCCGTGACTGGTCCAGCATCGGTATCGGCTGCTATCTACATAACATTTCATGGCGCAGCGAACCTCAGCATGGGTTCGCTCCGCTCACAGAACGGTATACCCAACAGCCACGGACGGAGCGGAACACTCGCACTCACACATGGGTACAGAAACGTGCTACGAGAGAAACGGATCTCCATCGAACTAGCGAAACGTGCTTCTGTGGAATTTAGTGAAGCCAAAGGTCGGTAGTAAAGAATCAGCTTCTTTAGACGAAGGATACAGCGGAATTGTGAAACACAACGCGGGCGTGTAAAAGCGCCCCATTCGACGTGATCCTACCACCTCCAGGGATCGGACGAACGGGGCAGTTTGTGTCGGATAAGAAGATCCCTCCGCTAATGGCAGGCTTACATAAATGTCTGAGACGCAGATAAACGTTAAATACCTACATCCCTGCAGCATCGAGCGTTACCAGGCTTTAATTTTGCAGACCACCGATACGATTGTTTGACATCGATTCGTGGTTATTTCGAGACCCGACCGTCGCTAGTCATAAACCGAGTTTCCAAAAGGTCAGGAGGTTCACTGATGACCCTCTGCGGGGGCGGCCGAGCAACCCTAAATAACTCAGACGACATGCGGGACCGCAGCGGGCCTGGACATTCGATCGGAGCCGACCGAACCAGGCCGGAACCGGCGTCCCGAGATACGTCCAGCGGTACAACCAGAGGCGGTTGTGCCGTGGAGTGAGTGCCAGCCGGCACAGGGCGCAGATAGCCACTGAATACCTGCAGCTATTGGTCCCGAGGTCACCGTCTGAAGGACGGGCGGCCCAGCGATGAGGTACGTTTGGACGGAACGGTGGTCGTGGAGCAGATATTACCCGTCATTCAGCTTTACAGACAGCCAATTTTGATACGCAGCAAAAGAACGAGCACAGGCGACGTGTCTGTGGCAAGGACTCCTAGTCAGGGAACCGTGACAGCCAGACCAAAAACGGCATTCAATTTCCGCCGACCGAGCGGAACGGAACACTGCTGAGTCATCCAAACGAAAACTCCGGGGACTGAAGCTCCTCCGGTGCCCGCGTAGGTCAACACTCGTCCCAAAAGTCCGAACGGGTGAGGGCGGAACTATTTGTGCGGCTGAGCACGGACGGCCGTGGGTCCTGGAGCTTAGTGCGCCTCCCGCAGTCCGTGGGGCCTGGAGCTTATTGCGCCTCCCGCAGTCCGTGGGCCCTGGAGCGCTCCCACCGTGGTCCGTGTGTCAATCTTCCGGCGCAGTCGTGTTTATTCTGCAAACGGTGGAAGCGGTGCGGAGGAGTAGTGGAGGAGCCGGGAAAGCTTCAGCTGCGTTTGTGTCTCCCAGAAGAGGCTGTCTACATCTAACGAAAACAGTGCCGTTTTGTTACACGGAGAAATGTCAGCCGAGTCCCGGATGAGTTGGCGTGGAACAGCCGCGTCTAGGAGCTTTGAACGGAAGAGGCGCAGTGAGGAAATCACCTCCGAAACACAAGCTCGTTTCAGTTGACATTCATCACTTGGTCAGCTTCACATGTGACAACAAGAGCGCTGAAAAGTGCAATCATCCTTACTGGGCCGAGCAACGAAACGGCCCACAGCAATCGCATGGGACACTGGTATGAGCTATCTCTAATGTTATGTACGCCTTATGATGCTGCGATGTTATTTCAGATACAGACACATTGACACCAGCGTTTGCACGTTTGTGATCACAAACAGCCATAATCACACCTAACAACAACGCAACAGCACATCACATCCCGCTGTTCTGCGATCCAACCGCTAACATCACATTAAATAGATCTCTCTTCGCTCTAGCCAAACACCGGCTATGGCCGAGCTATGCAGGTATTGTCCTCTCAACATCGGAGCAAATCACAAAACTGTGCGCCTCCGGCGGTGTCCCCGGTGGCGCGGGGCGCAGCAGTCTGTTTGTACGTGCGGTCCGGCCGCGGGCGCCCTCCGGAGAGCAGCATCGATCGATAGACCCCGCGAGGCACGCGGACGCCTCGCGTCGGCCGCCGACTTCCCGGAGCCTGGCCGTTGACGGTCCGTGCGACCTATCGGCTGCACTTACGCCTGAATGCAGTCAAGATAGCACCCAGCTGGGAAACTTCCACGCGCGGTGGAGGGGGACGCTGGCTTTGAAGGGCCTGGCGGACAGCGTACTGCCAATTAGCGCTCGCGTGGAGCCTGTGACTAGCCGAGACATCTCGCGCTCGGAGAGTCCACTGGTGTAGCGGAGATTCTCTGAGACCTGTTAGCACACAGACATTCCACGCAGACACTGGCTGAGCTATCAGAGCCGGCTGCGACGGTGTTCACGCTCGGCCGCCCCCATTAGCGGTCTGGGCAGACGTCGCTGCAGCTGCCGTCACCTGTGCGTTCACTGAGCGGCACCTGGTCCTCACAGAGGGCGCATTCGTCGCCGGCGCCCGCTCACACGGCCGTGTCCAGTGTGTTGATGCGTACCGACTTCTTGGACCTGGCCGCTGACGGCGAGCCCGGCGCCGGGTTACCGATAATCATCACACCCGAATCTACCGACTCGTTGGACGCTTCGTCCTTGCGCTTCTGCTTCTTGAGGCTTGACCGGAGCGGCGACTTGCGCGGGTCGTAGGGGATGGGTTTGCCGTTGTAGCTGGAGGTGGGTGTCGGCGCCACGGGCGCGGGCCGCTGTGCCGCCACCTCAGTGGGTCGCGGGTGGACCAGACCCGGAGGCCGGCCCGCCGAAATCACAGTCACCCCGTTGGCGTTTGGCGAAGCGACCCGGCCGCTCTCGCGGGCTCCCGGATTGGTCAGAACCGGCGCCAGCCTGCCCTCCGGGTCACGTGACATGGTGACCGGGTCACCGCCGAGCCGGCGCGCCAGGACGAACTCGGCGGCCGCGAACCCGCAGAGCGCCAACGACAGCAGCGTGTACAGGACCTGGAGGAGACGGGCAAACGGTCAGATAGGCACACAGTGGTTATTTTGAATAACTAATTCAATATTGGTCGAAGACAATATCCATGTCATTCAATTTCCAGGGTTAAAGAACTTACCTAAAACCATCAATTCTAAATCATTTTGTGACATTCCTGACAAGCTAAGTTTCCCTCTAGAATAGGGGTACCCATTTTTGGGTCAATTTTTCAAATTTTAGGTGGGGGTGGATTTTCCCATTATTTGGTCTATTCTGATTCCATCTGTGCCAAAAATACCGAAATCAAACCATTTCTAGGGGTCGCGAATTCAAATTGAAAATGCTAATTTTAGCGAAAAATCGGCCAAATTAGTACTATTTAATTTTGGAACAAGGTTATCATGCCAACAAGTTGGGGTCAATTTTCCCATTATTTTGTCTATTCTGATTCCATCTGTGCCAAAAATAACGAAGGCAAACGATTTTGGGGGGTCACGAATTCAAAATGAACATGTCAATTTTAGCAGAAAATCGACCAAATTACCATTATTTTAACTATGTTGAGACAAGGTTACCATGCCAACAGGTCGGGGTCGATTCTATCATTATTTGCTCTGTTCTGGATCTATAGCAGTGACAGAAGTAACGATATTAGATCACTTTTATGGGTCGCAAGCTTGCATTGGAGTTTTAATTTTAGTGGAAAAATGACTTCATTTGAACGACTATAAATATGCAAAGCCAACGTGTTCCAGTGGTATTAATGGCTGTTAGACACCGTGCAACATTGCTTTAGTTGTAGCCTGTAGGTATATTCGACGTGCAGCGGTAAAAGAGAGCACCAAAAATATCATTTTGGTCAATGAACAGCATATGCTCATTTACACTCACTCTGGCTTAGACCGTCATTAGCACCTACACAAGACCGCAACTCTTAGAACGAATGGCTATGTAGTCAGGGGGCTAAAATCAGCGATCGAGGCTTTCTCATCGGAATCACCTAATTTTCAATGAGTCGTCTCATTCAGCAAAGGAAATGACCAATCCCCAGGACATGAACATTGACCTATCGATACAATTTGGGTGGAAGGGGCATTAAAAACCGTTACGGTATAACCATATAACTCGCATGCCGTATTTTAACGGAAATATGGCATGAAGTAGATAAAGAAGTTATCAATTGCTTCTGTATATCTATACCGAGATAAAAACAGCACTAAGCTATGCCGGTATGCATGAATGATGACCTTTGCCAATTTGCTAGCCGACCTCCCCGAGTCCCGGACCTGGTTCTCCTCGTCTTTAGTCTCTGCACGCACACTCCCTCATATGATGCGTCCTGGTACCACCATACGGCCCATGCAGGATGAAAATCTCCTGCTACATTAGTTTCTTCAAACTCAGACGCCAACTAGGTACCTGAGATCACAAGTGATCTGTGCAAGAAGCTGTGAAAGGTCTTCGTCACATATCAACCATGCACGTATCAGCGCATGGCTAGTCGCCTGTGGTCGAATATGAACTCGTAAATGATCTGCAGTTGTATCGGAAACTCTTACACAAGAACGGTGTGTATCTGCCCCCACTGAAGAAATGGAATAGTACATGATTGGTGGGCATGGAAAGAATCGACGCTTTCGAGTTTGTTTTCGGATTAGAAGTTGATATTTTTGGGTAGAACACCCAGATTTATCCTACCCTGTCTCATAGGTGTATTACATCGTAGCCGTGAGCGATCAGGACGGAGTTTCTTGTGGAAGCATACGGTCAAAATGCTTCGATCGTTTTTTAATTACATGATTTGAAATCCATTCGAAGCAATGATCTGTGAGATGTATCCTGAGCTCATTTGCACAAACTTTAATTGTATGGACACAAAGAGCCTGTCATGAACAGAGACGTGGCAACTGAAAGGTCACATTTTAATTTGACCTCACAGGTCATCAAAGGTCACCATTACAACTCATGACCTTCAAGAGGCAGAAGATTTCAAAAATGATTACACGCTGACCAGAATGATACCAAGAACAGGGGCAAAACATCCCGGGCCGGGATGTTTTGTTCCTGTTGTTGGTCGCCGGGATTCCCGGCGCTTTTCACCAAATGTTACAATATCGACATCGTAATGATCGCTAGTAAAGCATTTAACCGGAACCACGTGATGGAGCACATCGATCTGGATGAGGAAATGAGCGCTCAATGACCCCTCTACCCGACTTTCAAAACAAAAACTTTGCCTTTAGTGCGATTTATTATCAGCGTCAAATAGGCATATTTCTAGGTAAATACGCAAATTTCAATCTCAATTCGCGACCCCTAAATCACCTTTGATTTTAATATTTTTGGCATCATTGGAATCACAAGCCGCGAAATAATGGGAAAAACCACCCCCACCCACAAATTTCCAAAATCGGGAAAAATGGGTACCCCTACTCTAGATGTGTTATTGTGACTGTGTTAAATTTTAAATTTCTGCGGAGCGTTTGGTGAGCTGTGCTCCAAATAGTTCTGGGTAAATCCAAGCTTTACGCAGCTTTGGTGTGAAAATAAACCGTCTCGATCCTCAGCCTAAGGGATTCCGTTAAAAGCCAGTGGGATCTATCAGCCTCCCCTTACCGGAAAGCTGCGAAAACAGGAGCGACGGAAACTGAAATTAATATCGTATCTGAGAGATACGTAGCTATATCGATAGATATGATACTAATGTAAGGAGAGAGAGAGAGAGAGAGAGAGAGAGAGAGAGAGAGAGAGAGAGAGAGAGAGAGAGAGAGAGAGAGAGAGAGAGAGAGAGAGAGAGAGAGAGAGAAAGAGAGAGAGAGAGAGAGAGAGAGAGAGAGAGAGAGAGAGAGAGAGAGAGAGAGAGAGAGAGAGAGAGAGAGAGAGAGAGAGAGAGAGAGAGAGAGAGAGAGAGAGAGAGAGAGAGAGAGAGAGAGAGAAAATATGTAAAAACAAGCAGAGATTTAGACCGACAGAGCGAGACAGATAGATACAGAAACACAGAGCCAGAGACAAACGTATAAAGGAGAGACAGAGACAGAGACAGAGACATTGCGTTGTCGGATCCAAGCCGATCATCTCATGGTCATCATCATCCCGGCCGAAATCCGCCCAGCTCTCGGCCTTACCATCAGATAGAAGCTCCACGATCGCCAGACGTGGAAGCCGACGTTCTCTCCGAGTCGACGGGCGTCGAGGTCGATACCGAAGAGCACCAGCGACACGACACAGCTGACAGCTGGAACACAGGAACACGGATTGTAACACAACGCAGCTGACGGGTGGAACACAGGAACACGGATTGTAACACAACGCAGCTGACGGGTGGAACAGAAGAAAACAGATGGTAACACGACGCAACTGACGGCTGGAGCACGGCAGAGGACACAGAGGGTTACATGGGGAGCACGGGTGTGACACGACGCAGCTGACGGCTGGAACACCGGGGAGACGGCCACGGGGAGTGTGACACGGGAGAGGGGCGAGGAGTGGGACACGGACGAGTGCATATTTTGTTGGTGGGATACGGCACTGTTATTATTCTTGCATGGAGTTTACCGAACAAAAAAGCTTTCATACGTGGTTTGCATAATAAATACCCTTGCTTCCCGAAGACCCGAAGTCTATCGCGCAGGCCATGACGCTGTTCAATGGGGGGAAAAGCTTGGAACACTATATACACAGCTTGATCCGAGCGCATAGTAAAGAGTGTCCTGCCCCCCCCCACACACACACTTTACACAAAGCAGACAGCATCTGAATTTAAACGGGACTCCTCCCTTTTAGCACGCAGCGATCGTTTTTAGGAAATAAGGGCTTCTTCCTCCTTCCACCATGTCAACCAAACAACTGAAGGGTATTGTGCGAACCAATCTAGCATGTTTGAAATTAATTTACGAATTGAATAGTGGCGAGCTACAAGTTAAGTTCCTGTTAAAGCTCTTTCTACACAACTCAACGCTACTCCTCTGCCCGGCTTTTGACTTCACGATGTATTCACTCAGCCAATGTGTGAACAAGTTTGGGTGAGTTTATCGGAGTTGCCAAGTAATTTGTGTAAATTGGAGTGATAGGAGATAAATGCCACCTTTGGTTTATCAAGCTGTGTTCCCGATAGATTTGCTGCCTACGCAGCATTATGCAGAATGTCACAAAGAGTTTCATCAAAGTTTGGCAAATAGACATAGTCTAGCACAAAAGAAAATGCTGCAGCCTTCCATAAATGATGTCGTAACTCTCATCTCTGTATGCCCCGCGCAATTACACATGAGAAAATATCGGAATAAACACAGCTGTGTTGATCGAGCAAATATTTTCACCGACGTGCTTTTACCCTGCCGCCAAACTAAAGGTCAACCCAGGCTCCGAAGCCTCATGAATCATGCAGATCAGCTGTATATGTAACCGACTTCTTGCAGTCGGCTGCAGGTGCCAGACAATAGATATTGCATCACCCGGTCTAAGCCAGTCAGGGGACAGGCGTGGCTTGCCCCGGGGCAGCCTCGGGACTGTTCCATCAGGGAGCTGACGTGGCCGCGGGGCGCGGGGCACAGCGGGGGAGGTGATGGACGGCCCGTGCCCCGTCCGCCGGCCACCCGACCCGACACCGGCGCCTGACGAATGGAGTCGTTTCACGGGGTGTCACGTGCCCGGTCAGAGGGCTCAGCGGACACGCTGCGCAGTTGGGTGCCGCTTCGGACGTGCAAGAATGTCGGAAAAGGTGATGGACGCTTGATAATAAATTTGAGTGATTTTTTTTTGCGCTGCAGCGACTCATATAAAATCGGCATGAAAGACAGGCCGGTACAAAGTGAATAAATACAGCGCTTTCAGTCCTATTGGGTGCTGGAAAAATAAGACCACAAGGCCTCGACGTTCATAAAAAAGGGCCGTGAGACACTTCAAGCATAACTATGCTTCGCACAGCCTTGTCAATGCGTTAGTAGACTGTGGAGCGTGGATATTCAACAATTTTAGGTACTTTGTCACGTCCAAAAAACACCAGTCTAAAAGAGAAGCATCACTACACTTAGAATCTCGTCCAACAACCTCCCACACCTTCTCAAGCAGCCGCCCACACCTCAATCCGCGCTCGTCGTCGTCTATCTAACTCACCTCCTATACAGCTGACTGCCAGCTTGGCGACCACCGCGTGCCGGAACTTGAAGAACACCTGTCGCTTGGTGACGCGCATGGCCAGCACCATGGGCGACATGACGCACGTCAGGATCGTCACTATCACAGCTATGACGCCGCACACCCCCGCCGACGTCGTGTACTCTGAAACGGGAAAAATGGGGTGATTCAGCAGCCATTACGAACGGTCGAGGTAATTTGTGCTTACAGGCATCGATACCTAACACAAAGATGTAGACGATAACAAGGAATGACATTTCAGATGATAGTCGATGATATCAATTATTTGATTGGCTTGGACCATAAGTGGACCATGATTGGCTTGGACCATGTGTGGGCATGACTAACCTAACTATAGGAGTAAGAATACGGCATACCTGGAAATTGTCGTCAGGTAATATTTGGCTAATGTGTAGGCAATATACATAGGTACAGAGACCAATCCATTTTTGAGCCATCCGAATGGCTTCAAGGATGACCTAGTAATACATCGTACCAGTACCAGCGATTGGTCGATTTAGCCTTCCATAACAAGTACAGTAATATTGTAGATTGGTTTCTTTATTATAATTGTCAGATAAAGATGGGTTGGGAAGTTTTCGTTACTTATAAATGCAAATATTAACCCTCGCCGGACCTATTGGTTTTCTACATACGCGCCGGCCGAGGGGGGGGGGGCGGGTACGACCCCCCCCTCGCCGTTTCGCCCCTGGTGGAGCTAGCGCGTCGCGGAAAAAACGAGCGTGTGCGCCGTTACGAGACGCAGAGATTGGTACCCGATTTTAAGGTCCTAGGTCAACCGGTGACCTCTGAGGTCAGGTCAAGTGCCCCAAGGTACGGTTCAGTTTTTGGTGAATAACTTCGCAAAAAACGGCCGCAGAGCGCCGATTTTGGCAGCACCGTGTTCGTCTCGCTCAGGCGCGTCGAATGATATACTTTTTGTCCGGGTCAGGTCAACTTGGGGTGTTGACCTCAGGTCAAGGTCAGGTCAGCACCCCCAGGTCACGAAGTTGGTCGAAAGAGGTCATGTCGCATATCATTCGATTCGCCAGGTCTTCCTGAGTCCATTGGTGGCTTTCCCGACTCGCTAGCTCAATTTGATCAAGAGTTATTGACGAAAAACTAATATGACCTTGATGACGTCATAAATGACGTCACGCCAGGTCAACATTGCAAAAGTGACGCATCTAACCTTGCAAGGAGTGCATAAAATCACGATTCTGTGTGCTTGAGATAGTTGGAGATCGTTCCCGGCGCCAGAATAGCAGTTTTCATTTTTCCCCATTGACTTATAATGGTGAGGTCACGAAAATGACCTGACCTCATATGACCTTTAGGAAAAATCCGAGATATACAAGTTGTGGGACTCATAATGGATACTAGATCCTGCAAGTTTCATTTCCCTGTGACATCTCCTCTGGCAGTGAGGGCGTTGCGAAGTTGCGACATCTGAAGACCGTGCAGAGGTTCACTTATGACGTCATAGGTCAGTGACCTGACCTGACCCAAAAATGCGGTTGGTGTCAAAAGATGCGGCTTGGATCAAAGGTCAGGTATGCCAAGTTTCAGCTCTCTATCGCCAGCGTGCTCGGAGCTATCGCGAAAAAACCCTATGGGGGGGGGCGGCACCCGCCCCCCCCCTCGGCCGGCGAGGGTTAAATAAGTAATAGTCAGCTGTTCAAAGCTCGAACCACGAACCCAGACCAAGATCTTCTTCCACACCAAATGGTGTCACCCGTGTCTTCTATAAGGAGTGAAGGTTACAGCCCATGCGTCAATGCAGTCTCAGCGTCTAGCGGGACAGCCTACCAATGCAGGCAGGCGGTGACTGTCATCCGTCTGCTGAGTGTACGCAGAGGAGTCATGTATGGTCTTGTTCTAAGTAAAAAGTCTGATGTATTCGTATTGTATTCGTATTTGTATGTCATTTTTAAGAGACGTTTAATGTTCCATCTAAATGAGACCATATTCACTCAGAAACTATCTTATGCCCAATTGTCTTAGCTGTTTTAGATAATCATAAAAATTGCTGCAAGATGGACTTATTTGCTATGATACTATTTACCGCATAAGCGAACACATTAGGCTGTAACATGTAGCAATATCAGGCAGCATTACTTACATTACTGCCCTACAAGTCGCACAGCAGCGATTTGTTAGCGCAATACTTCAGCAACAATCTATCCCCCGTAACGACGCATCTTTGGATGATTACCCGAGCAGCCCGTATCGTTCGCCAGAGCTACAGGCGGGTCGGCGCTCCCGCCTGTTCTGAGCCGTCAGAGCGGAATCTTCCTCCTGGCAGCTGCGTTTGTTCACGCGCCGCGACCTCCGGTAAATGGGACGCCGGGGGAACACTGGGGCGGAGCGGAGACCGCTAGCCAGCAGAGTGGCTCGTTACTGACGAGTTGTGAGGTCACAGGTCATGCCAGCCGAGCGCACGGTGACAGCTGCAGCGTGGGTCGGCGGTCAGCGGTGCATTATGGGAGAAATGAGATCGGAGGAAGCTGATGGATGCGGATTAGCCAACCAAAATACTACGCTTTGGTGCTTGGTTGTTGGAAATCATATTTTTATGCTTTTGATGCAGGTTAAAAGCATTGCTCGACTGATGCAGAATAAGCTATTTTCAGTTTCTGAAAATACACCTAGGCATAGGCTATCCATGTCCCTTGTTCTCGGATCTGTTGATGCTAAAGAGCGGTGATTATTTTTCCCTGATCATCTGGCTCCATTACCAGCCCCAGGCAATCAATCTCTGTTGCCATTTATGCTGATAGCTAGAACTATTTCTCCTATCCAGATACAAGAATTATGGCGGTCACAAAAAAGCCGGCATCGAAAACAGAGTGGCGAGACGCGAGTCTGCCACACAGGCACTTGCTATGCAGTCGTAAATCAAATGAAGAATGTAAATCTGTAGAAAATATACTTAAATGCCACTGAATACGGTTTTACAGTTAGATTCATAAGACATACTGAAGATGGTTAGAAGGTAAGGCCATCATGAAATGAAAATATTTGAATTTTGATGGTTCGAACACAAAGCAAAAGCATAGTCATCGATGATGCGTGACTTTATGCAGTCTCAAATAATAGCCATGGTGGTGTGCATGTAATACTTTTTTCCATTAAAACGATGAGATATATTTCCATTTTATTAGTTATCTTACTAGCCCGCCCAAAAAACATCTGTCTTGACGATATTTATTTGGTTTGCTACATTTACTTATAGTTACATAAGGAGTCACTTTTTGCGATGTGTGTCACCAGACTGAGCGCTTCCAGACAGCTACTCTAAAAACAGTCATTTGTGGTCGATTACGGCGTCGCCCTGTTACTTAGTCTGAGAGTGAGATTGTGCACCGCTCGAATCACTTATCCCACATTTCGGTCAGCTCTCTCGATACACGTAGGAGCTCATCAAAAATCGTTAAGTTTTCTTCCTGGCTAGCCGCCGCGATGGGTTATCACGGAGTCTCTTAGCAATGCGCTCACGCTCGAACGCCGGCACAGAGTTCGTTCGCAGAAGTCCGCGCAGCGTCCCCACGGGCACTGAACCCACACCTTACGTCGTTCCTGACACTGCTGTGTCGGAGCAGACCTCTAACGCCGCCCCCGCCGTTCTCGGCAGCGGCCACAGCGCGAATAGGTCACGGTGGGACGTGCCTGGCGTGCCGAGCCGGGCGGCGGACAGAGGTCAGACTGGTGACGACAGGTCGCAGCTCAGAGCCGCCACTTACCGGCTGCCGTCGGCAGCAGACCGCAGCGACGGAGGCGGCGGCTGCCACTAACCGCTACTTGACCGTGACGAGCGGCCCACGACCGCTCCCAGCCGCCGGGCCGCTTCTGCGACTGAAAGGCTACTGTGCCGCTCTCGGAGCGGGCATTCGAACGAACGCATCTCAAAAGCCGAGCCGGCCACTTGGGGTCTTAGCTTACACTCAGCGACTGCTGAGGATGATAGTTATGTGTTAAAAAGTTGTCTGAAAATCGAAACTCTTTAATCTTTGGTAAATAACAAGACTTTATTACAGTTCTTTCATAATAGCGCTGCATATCCCTTAGACTGATATATGTGTAATAATGCCTGTTGTCATGCCCGGGCGGTGCCTCCGGCGATGCAGGCCCTGTCTTCCCGGCGCAATAGATCCACCAGTAGACCCCCCGGGGGCCTGCTACCGGTCTCGGAGCATCCTCAGAGATTGGACAGACTCCCCCCTGGAGGCCTGAGGGCTGATATGACGACCAGCACAGGCGATACGCACGGTGCGTTGGAACAATGTACGGATAGCGTTGGTGATATGTAGACATTATGCATGAAAAGTGTGATTATCTAGATAATGGAGTTCTCGTTGGATGCTTGAGGATACGAGATATAAATAATGCATATGCAATGATGAGAAAATTGTGGAAACTGGACGGGAAAATGTAGGAATTATCCCTAAAAACAAATGTTGAATTAAAACGTATTTTTGGTAAAATTAAGACCAATATCTGGGAAGAATGTGAGGGGTTCATGGGACTGGAAAATGACGAGTTAAGTGTTTCATGCTTGTAAGTTTCCAGCGCAAAATGTCGATCAAGGGTTAACTTTTTTGACGAGGCTACCAACCAGGGAGAGCGAAAAATAGCGTCACTTATCAACAAACAGATGCATCTTATAAACAAAATGATAACAGCACAAAATATGCACAGCAGCATTCTGGAGAGAGAGAAAGAGAGAGAGAGAGAGAGAGAGAGAGAGAGAGAGAGAGAGAGAGAGAGGGAGAGAGAGAGAGAGCGAGAGAGAGAGAGAGAGAGAGAGAGAGAGAGAGAGAGAGAGAGAGAGAGAGAGAGAGAGAGAGAGAGAGAGAGAGAGAGAGAGAGAGAGACACTAGACCACTAGCAGTTATCCTATCTCTTTCTGCGAGGGAGGTAGCATCCGTTTGGTCTAACATTTGGCGGCAGACACTAAACCTACAGCCCAGCACCTTTGCAAAGGCACTGCATATGACCAGCCCGGCCACCTAACTCCCTGTGGCACTGGCCTTTTGAACACACGAATGTCATCAGCTGCAGTCTGTCCCTGGGAACTGGCGTCTCACCTGACGGCTGCAGCCGTGACACGTGGGTTCCGCATCTGTAGTCCAGTCTGCTGTTCCGGCGACACACCGTCCAAAGGCCAAAGTGACCATTCTCCGAACCTGAAACACAAAGGACAACAAGTCAGCGGCCATTGAATGGACGAGTCTGTGAGGCCCTCTGAAGTCGGGGATATTGTCATGGCATGTCAGTGTCAGGTGTCTACTTTACAGAGGGAGAGTCGTGTAAAAACTATGGCGACATCGAGTTTGCATTTCGTGCTAATTTGTATGAGCTCCTATAAAATTGTCAAAATATTTGCCTTGTATACCGTGGTTCATCTCTCAGTAAATTCATCTTCAACAGAAGCTCTTGAATTATGATATTGATTTAAAAGCGACTTTTTCATTGTTTCATTTTCATTGGCGATATATCCTGCACTATCCTGCATATAGGACGTGTGCAATGAGAATATGTCACAGAACAAACGGCTCCTCCACCATTCTATTTGCTTTTTGTTCCGCTTCGCTGGCATTTCAAGCTAATATTACACTTCAACGAACGTCGTTGCGTGAAATTGCATTTTAACAATTCAGCCGGAACCCGAACCAGCCGTAGCTCGGTTTTTGCCGAGATTCATTGATCTGTTTGTAGTTCGCAATTGTCAGAGTGTAAAATTAACGCTGCTTAAATCCAAATCTACCTCGCCTTATTGGATCCATCGTATGCCTGCAAAACAGGGCCGTTCTAGTCAACCCTCGGGGAAACAGCCTCGTGGCCGTGCTTGAAATTACTCCCTACAGTTCGGTAAACTAAGGTTGTTTTCGTTTACGTTAGTTGCTTGGTAGGTATACTAAATAAGCAACAGTCTTATCTGTTTGCCACATGTATCTTTGTCTCAATAGAGACTCTCAACATTTGCCCGTTCCACCTCAGACACTCTTCAGTCTTCAGCTTCCATCACTTACACCACGCTACACAACATCAAAGCTGCCTTTGACAGCCTCCTCACGATCTCCAAACTGCGCTCGCCAGTCGCCACTCGGTGATGTCATTGAGCACATTTTCACCCACAGCGAACGAAACCCGACCCGGTCCCGCCGATCCCACCCTCTTTCCGACCCCGTTCAATAGCAGCGCCAGCAGCACTAGATGCTGTCGACAGCGACCACAGCAGCAGCGGAGGCGTGGGAGTGCCATCAGCTGCCGTCAGCGACAACACCGGGCGCTGCCACAGCCGCTCCCGGGCGCCGCTTTTAGCAGATTAGGGCGGAGATGTAGTGTGGCGGCGCAGCTCCGATGGACTGAAATGTGAGCCACGTAATGTGTGCCTGTTTGATGCGGGCCTGTGATGTGTGAGAGACAGATGCGAGAGGCCCGTCGATGCAAACCGCTTAGATGATTAAAGTCAGACAGAGTAAAGATGAGCTGTTGCTGTGCTGGATTACATAAAGTAGAGTGACAGTATGTTGCCCTGTTGAATGGGGAGCTTACTTTTTCGCTCACTTGGGGAGCTTTCAAGTTTTTTTTTTCGTTTCAAGCTCGATTTGGAGAATAATGTATTTGAGTTCCAACTGTCATTTGTTGCTTTGAATATTACGTTCAGAGGCAGGTAATTTCCCAGGATATTGAAGTTAGTTTTCATCATTGGTTACAAAAGCATCACTAGCCTGCCGCTGCGGATGAGTTATGTAAATTTTGCCTTCGCTGATTACCAGACGAGTCCAACTTTCGTCTCCGACGCGGCGAATCCCGCGAGTATTCAAAGGTGGGACGGCATAATAGCGTCAGCTAATTTTGTTTCGCGCTGCCAAATTACCATTCATTCCCAGAAGGTCGTCGCAGCGGCCTTTCAGAAATAGACGCCTAGCCACTGCAAGATCAGACTGATTTTGACCCACGCTTAAATATGAGTCAACTTTGTGGCGGCAACTGACAAAAGGCACGCCTAATTTGTCCTTCATGACGCACCACAGCGGATCAATCTAGCTGAGCTAGTGGCTCACCGGGCGCTGGTAGCTCGCGGGCAGCTCGGGCAGGGCGCCGGTCACCTTCCGACCCAACCAGCGCAGCATTGATCGACTCTTTAATCATGCATTTCACGTCATAGTGTCGCAGTGTCCCGGGAAGCTGGCGGCATCCGCGGCGCCGGCCGGCCGCAGGGCCGCCCCGTAAAGTGCCCATCTCGGCCCGCGCGGGTACTCAGAGAGCGGCCATGGTTCACTGCGGACGGCACTACTGGTGGAGAGCCACTCAGCTGCTCATAAAATATCATATGAATGCCAGAGTGGTGGTGAATGCGGACTAAGGGGAGTGTATCAAAACAAACTGAAATTTACGAAGGGATTCAGGATTTATAAACTCGAAGCTAATTCAAAATTGAAAAGTCGTGTCTAGCAGGTGCAGCAAAATCGCCTTACTGAAGTTAAATGATGAGATTTGGAACGGAAAATCAAGCATATTGATAGGAAGTAGAAAAAAGCAAACGAAACAAAACAGGAAAACGACCTGCGATTTGAGCGCTTTCTTTCAACACTTCTCGTGCCAGCAAGCCCCGCAGCTCGCATTAGCTCGATCGGTCCAGAACACGTTCTGCTTGCTAATGGATATCTCCTTGCGGGAATCACCCTAACGGACCCTTTTTGTCACGTACGGCACGCTGTGTCACGCATTTGTTTTTTGCTCTTACACCGGGCTGTGGTAAGTATCGTTCGCTTGCCGCCTGGAATGAATGAAAGTGCGTCGGCGGTGAAGGTTTGTTTCAAATGACATCCACCTGATACAGAGGTAATTTCCAACCAGTCCGGGTGAGGTGACGCGTTTTATTTGGTAGCTTCGTGCCGTAGTGATCGTTTCTCTTGACAACCTCGACTGAGGCATCGCGCTACATTTTCCACACCTCTCGGAAAATGGGTTAGCCCCACCTTCGCAGGGTCAGTGTTCCGCCCTTCAACGGATCGTAGGCTAGGCAGGTCTGAAGTCTTTCTGCATCGGTGATAATGGAGCCGTCTCTTTTTTGCGGTACGTAATCTGAGCCCGGGATCAAAGTCACCTCTGATCTTTTCTTCATGACTAGATGCAATTAGGAACTTGTCGATTTATAAGAAATTATATGGGACTAAAAATAATACTAGTAATAATATAGCATGTGCCATTCTACAAAATTTCACCGAGCGAGCTGCTCCAGATTGGCCCATATTAATCCCGGATCACTTTCCACGGTCATTTGTGACCGGAGCCGGTGGCCACCGAGGTCATTTCAGCGGCTGATTGAAGTCATATGAGGCTCATCAGGGGCCGTGGGCTGCCTAATGAGGACATGTCGGCCCGACTGGAGTGGGTCTGTGCCCGGTGACACTCGGGGTCACAGACGGCTCCCATGGCGCAGAGAGCGGAGATAGACGAGGTCGGTTTGCGCTACTCAATCACGATTTTATGGGAGGTTGCCAGATATTTCTATTCTAGCGTAACGGAGAGTCATTACCCGGCTATAAAATAGCAGTGAATCATCATAAGCCGGGGATATAATAAATCACGAGACAAGAGCAAATTGTGCCAGGTCCATTAGATTAGAGGATGCAGACAAAAAGCATTGTCATCTGCAGAGTGCAGGAACTAAAATACATGGCTGGCTACATTTTACCCATCTTCAATATAAACCACATGTTTTCTGTTATATTCAATTCCGTGTCTGGTATATGGCGGCACCTCCGACTCGGCCTGGCGGACCTGTCTGCCACCAATCTTCCCCCTGTACCGTGGCGCAGTATCGTACACGGTCAGCGAGCCCGGCCCACCGTTCGTCTCACACACGTCACCCTCAGACCGGAGCGGTGTCAGCGAGGCCGCCAGATGCCGGAACGGCTAGTGCGCCTTCCCTGTCACCGTGAATCGTCACCGGTCACGGGAGACGGGCCGCCAGTACAGTTTAGAGGCGACGGTGAATGTTATGTAACATGGTAGCTCAGTGTTGTGGTCATGGGCGCCAAACGCATGCGACACCACGGCTGTTTGTGGTATGTAGATGCTTTCCATTGGCCGGCCACAAGCAACCTTGATCGGTATGCCCGATCACGTGCGCCAATAAGCAGCTCTGGATCCCATTATAATCCAAGGGGAAAAGCAAATCCGCTCATTTCGCACCAGCAAACATAACTACAAATGTGCTGAAAACTACCTACTGAACCGAATGATTCAGCGATACCGTTCCTAGTTAGATGCACTGACCTGACCAGTTTTGACCTACGTTTGACCTTAGGTCAACGGACAACTTTTTGAACAAACAGATTATTAAACAGAAACGGTGACGACAGGTGGTACTTTCATTTTAAAAGAAGCCAGCCTACCACATTCACGTCTCTCCACTGCAGTTGCGCCCTGGAATAAAACCTACGGCAGCTTACCAGAGTGGTCGACATAAAACAACACTCCCATAAAGAAAACACGACACTTAGGGCTGCCAAAAAGCAGCTAAAACGTGCCTCTAAACATGTTTTATATAGCAACTAGCTATCACCTGCACCTGTCAGCACTACGCCACTGCCTGTGCAGGTGCGGGCAGTGAGAGTGAACCCCCGCTGACCTCGGGTGACCTTGAGTCCGCCCGGAGGCCGGCACGGTACACCGTCCCACTTCGCAAACACAGCGCTACGTGGCACGTGCCCCGCCCCTCACCGTCCTTCCCTGCCCCTCCCCGCCCCTCCCTGCCTCTTCCAGGGGGGGAGGTTGGGGAGAGGAGAGCAGAGGAGGTGGAGGCACTGACGAAGGCTTCAATGGAAAGGGAGTGCTTTTGGTCCGCGATGACTGACAGAGACGGTAGTGGCGTCGTTGCCACTAAGGCCATACCTCCTAAGACGGGCAAACCAAAATAGTGGCCCAAAAGAGGGATTGAAATGTGCTCAACGCCAGCACACGTAAGCACTAGCATAACTCATAAGTTATGCCATAATTAAGCGCAAGAGCACCAGCGTTGCTCACAAGTATGTGCTGACGACTGAGTGTATTACCTGTTAAGGCAAGTTTGCCAGACTGGTTCGTGTTTATTGATCTGCGATAGATATTTAAATAAAGGTGTCACATTGGATGTGCTGAGGAAAAAACCTCCGTTCACCACACGTCACTG